AACAACACACAATGAAACACTGATGTGATCATTTTATCATTTGCTTCAGGCACGTAGCATCGTTTTTGAAAGTGGGGGGCCAACCAGAGAAAATTTTTTTTTTACTTACCTGCAAAAATTGACAACCCAAAAAAAAAAAAAAAAAAAAAAAAAAAAAAAAAAAAAAAAAAAAAAATTAAAAGTTGCCCAAACTCGAAAATCCTATCCTATTATTTTTCCAATTTTTTCCCTACAATCCTTGTTATCACTATGCTATGGTTATAAATTGGGGGGACCAACCACCCTATCAGTGAACATTTACTATAGTAAAGGTTATGTTGGGGAAAAAAGTGGGGGGGGCCAGCCCCCCCCCCCCCCCCCGGTTGCTACGTCCCTGTGCTTCTACATGTATTCAAATTAAAAGAAAAAATATATTGAATAACATTTACTTCTTCTTCAAAGTATGTATGAGTAAAACAATGATGATCTACATGTATAAAAGTTATCCCAGTTGAAGAAGAGTGACTTCTTCTGGGGGCTCATTTTGTCTCTGAAGATCATGATATCCACTGTTTTTGTCTTTGAAGATTTCAAGACCATATCCACTTTGATGGTAGTTTAGTGACTGAAACAGTGATGTTGACATTCATACATTTCTGTTTAGGTAGAAAGGTCCTTCAAAAATCAGTCTGAAAAAAAATTAATTGTGACAAATGCATACTTCTCACACTGTCTATTTACTTATACACACATATAAAAAAAACATTAGTCATTTATGCATCTAAATTTATGAATAACAGATAAATTAAGGCATTCCAACAAATAAGATAATAAACACAATGTTATGCACATGTAGTTGTATGGTTACAAAACTACATCATGATATTATGAATGATCTCAGAAAACAAGACATTTACGAAACATTGATGCCCTGCATGACAGCTTATGGCAAAGATTGAAATTTTTCAAATGCAAGTCAAAATCCAAAGGTCAAGGTCAAATTTGGTTGTACCCGCAGAAAGGTCTATACATAAACAATACATATGTGAAATATGAAAGCAATAGACCCACACGTCCAAATGTGAGCTGCATTAAAGATTTTGTGGACAAACACGCAGATGGACAGATAGACTGACGGATGGACAAACAGGCCAAAAAATATATAATACTCCCAAATCTAAGAATACAGGGGCATAACAAGTCAAATACAATACATTATGATGTAACATTTTCCTGATTTACTCAAGCTTACTTTATACTAAAAAAAATAAAACTGTGGCTATTGTAGGGATATTGCAATGTATGACATTTTCATTTTAGTCTTTTAACCCAGTTAAAGAGTTTTCTCTTTATTTACTTTTGCTGTATTTATTGTAATGTACAGTATTCAGAACTGTTACATCATTATTTGTGAACTGATAGAATAAACCACATTTTAGATTTTTTTTATCTTAGAAAATGAGATTCAGAATTTCATATATCAGAACAAAGACCAATTTATTTTAAAAATTCGAATTGTGACATTTTGCATAGGCGTTGGAACTGGGGGGGGGGCACTTTTTTGCAAAAATAGACATTATATAGGCATTGAAAATTGGGATTTACCCTTTTTTTGTTGGTTAAGCCCCCCCCTTTTTTAATTTGCTTCCATGTTTTGATATGAATCACAATACAGTTCAAGTGTATCATGACATAACACAATTAACATCTTGCCATACTGTTACAATGTACATTTATAGTCTGCATAAAGTTGTCTTTCCTCTCTTAACAGAAGAACACTGTTTATAAATATCATGCACTTCCTGATCTGTCGTAATTTTGATACTGTTTTGTGTGTTGAAGGAGATTATGATATTTGAATTTTTTACCTTCAATGTGATAATCAGGCTGGTATCTGTCACAGTCATGAGTGGTCAGAAAGCTGGGTCGATAAAGTACCACAGTCCTATATTTTGGGAATTAAGCCTTGGGTGACATTGTAGTCATATCCTGGTGTTGTCCTTATTGTTCTCTCCCTTCCCTGTTAAAATCAAACTTTAGTTTACTTCTCTATTATAATAGTATTCTTCATTTTCAATTCCTCAGTAGGAAATATTTGGATTTTCAAAATTTGTAGCTTGTATAGATACATGTACATGAGATCTACACAATGTTGTACATGTAACATATGGTCTACATGTACTTGTATAACCTTAGTTGAATAATACAATGATTTTCTATAATTTTAAGACTAACTGACTTTATATGCTAGAATGAGATAATTAATTTATAATTTTAATGATGTGTTCTAACTCTTCTGGTCTATGCTATGATTAAACAGGTCCAGGAAAATCACTATATTTAGCTATATAGCTTAATTTCCCTATATACTTTATTACCTACAGTATATAACATTGTCTCGTCTTATACAGTATTCAAACTTTACCTTTAATCACATCAATGTTTCCTCAGCCCTGTCATCACAGAAATTGCAGCTTTCATTGAGCTCAAAGCTCTTTGTTTTCTCGAATATTCTTATTATTATTGATGCCATTCGCACAACCATGAAATCAACCATGCCGCTTGCATCCTCACTCTCGAATTTCTTTCAAATTCATTCAGAATGTGATGTATTACAGCCATGAGACACAAAACTTCTCTCCGTTTCCAATGACGCATGGAAGCCGCCATTGCAACTTGGTGTAAACTACGCTTGAAAAAATAATCCGGATTTAATCGGATTGAAAAAAATAAACCGTTACTTTTCGTTCTCAAAACTGAATAGAACGATTGTTATTTTTCTTTATTTTAATCAACAAACTTATACACAACACTCAGTTTGAAATTTTTGAAAACCGAATTACTCGCGCAAGCCAATTTTCCAGATTTTGGAAAAAGTTTGGAAAGCCTGTGGCAGTGGCGTTATTCGTAGGGAAAGTAGTCCCGGAGGATCGACACTGTGTGGAGTTTGTTGTTTCTCCCTCAATGAATAGACTGGTACCCTGACATTGGTTAACGCAAGCGCCCTAAAAAACCTAGACTGGCATTGCCTGTCTTTACCGTACGCAGGAGTATATCGGATATCAGACAGGCAGGCCAGTCTATAAAAAACCAACTTGTAATTCCTAGCGGCAGCGACTGGAATCAAGGGCAGAGAACCAGTGCTACCTCAATGAAACGCTTTAGGAAAGGTGATGAAGACACATTTTTTAAAGACGTATTTTAACGTAGATGAAAACAAACTCAGCTCCGATGGATAGTCAAAATGTAACAATGTAAGATCAATTCAAGAGCAAATACCGGAGAGACTTTTCCCCAAGAGATCCGGCAATGGCCATTTTACACAGATCTCTATTCACCTGCATCAGTCTGTTGGCGTTTCTCATACTTCTAGCCTTGAAGCTGGACAAAAAGGTCAAATGGAACTGGTTCCTGGTTTTTAATCCGATGTGGCTTTTTGACGGCGTCATCGTAATCTATATAACGTTTAAGATGATAGCGCAGTGTAAAAACAGATACAACCAAGGACAAGTGTCCATGATGCGGAAGGTGTGTTACATGTGTTTTGTGTTGTTAAAGATGGCCTTCCAAGTTCTTCTGTGTATGAAGCTGCAGTATTATGACCAGGAAATATCTCTGTATTTTGTTATGATTCCATTCTGGATGTTGTTTATATTCGTCAGTAGTGACGTCTCTCATGGACTTTGGAGGATTGCAACCAGAGATATCAATGTTTGTGGGAGGAGATGAACAGTGGACAGAGAGAATAACTCTGTAATTTATTATAGTAATGGACATTCCTTTTTCCTTAAAAAGGCATTTGTCAACTTTTTAGAAATAAATCAGAAGTTAAATACACTTAGGTCTGTTCTCATTTTTGCTAGCTGCAGAACTGTTGCTCTCTGCTTGAGAAAATTCAGACAGATAAAGCAGAGAGCTACAGATTTAAACATTGAAAAACCTTATAATTACACCACCGTTTTTCTTGTATTTTATGCTTTTCCTGACCTTACAATTGGTATGAAACTTTTTCAATACTGGATGAAGATGTGGTGGAATGTATATGGTACAATGTTTTCTGTTTGTATGTTGTTTAACTTTTCATGCAGATGGAGACTTCACCACTTGTTAGTGGAGGGCTGCAAATATGGCTATTGGGTAGACAGGGATTTTTTTCATGCCAACACCTGCTGTAACACAAGACCTTGGTTTATATGGTCTCATCTGAGTGACTGGTCTCCGTGTCCCACAGTGGATTCGAACCCGCAAAGTAAGGACCACCTCCTTACTTCATGACTCTATAGCAGATGCCCTTAACCACTTACTATGCAGGCAACATGGTACAAATGTGTCTTGCAAAGAAAAGATCTTATATTTAATTAATTCTTCATGAACAATTAACAGAAAAATATTGGGAAGTGCACATTTAAATCCTATCTCTTCCTAGGGGATATGCATATGGAAGCATCACACATTCAAAGAAAAGTATTTTAAAATTGTGAAGAAGATGCATTTTACCTTGTTTCTTGTTTTAACCTTGTTTCTTGGGCAGTGCTTACACATCTCAAAATCAATAAGCACTGAATTCATTTTTAAAACTGCACACATCACATCTAAAACCAAATTCCCCCACTGTAAATGTTTCAATCCTCTTACATGATAACTGGAAAAAAATACACGGCTTGAATTTAAGCCTAATGTCTAAACTTGTGTTCAAATATGACAAGAACACACTAGCACCCACTGGTTTGCAGCAGTTGCAGAAAAAAACCAAGAACAACTTTTCTAGAGAAGAAAACATATTCCTTGACTTTATGCACAGGGGCCTGTAACATACTTTATTTGATTTTAAGTAATCACTAAATATACAAAACGGAATTCCTTTTGATCCTTGTGATCCTTCAAGAACCCTTGATGCTAATGTAAACATCCCATTAGTCAGGTTCTAACTTTTCAGTAAAATGGTGAGACACAAGCAACCCCCCCCCCCCCCCTCATCAATTCAATCAATGAGAGTAAAAAAAAATTAAAAGAGGAAGATGTCAAAATATAACATTTATTTTCAACACACAAAACAAGTACAATACAGTCCTTGTGACAAAAAGGAATAAAACAAATACTGACATGGACTATGATTTCTATAAAATCTCTATATAGTTTCGAGTCTGTGATAAATGGCTGCTAACTACACATAGTTACAGAGTGAATTCTTTAAAGCATTCACATTTGTATGTTTATATTATTTGGCTTGAAATGTCAGGACCATTTAAAAGGTATTCCACATCAAAAAGCATTTTACAAAAACAATGCAGGCTAGAGAAGATTTGTAATTCAAAAAAATTTAAGTTTAAGGTCATATATTTCCTATTGAACTGTACACTTTATACTATTGCATTCTAAAGCCTTTTGCCTGTCAACTCTTTACCAACTACATACATTTTGTGTCAGAAAAATATTAAATGTGACAATTTTAAAAGGATTTAAGAAAATACAACTATAATTATTAGAAAAATCCTTCTTAAGCAAGCAAACGGTAAAAATGTAACTAAATGCACTCAATGAACATTTTTGGTACTTGGTGTGCCGTAAGTCATATATTAAATGCACTCAGTGAACATTTTTGGTACTTGGTGTGCCGTAAGTCATTTATTATATACCGTGCAATCTTTTATAACATGTTTAATAGCATGCTGTTTACTTTGAATACACAGTTACTTATGGCACTATAAATAAACAGAAACTACAAAATTCACAGGCATCACATGACCGACAAATATTATGAGTGACTGACATCTATAATCAAACGAGAAAGGTGTAAGTTATGTGGAGATAACTCAGTATGTTTAGAAAAAAGACAATACAAATACTATTAAATGCAACACAAAACCTTGAAGTCTGTATCTATAAAACTAGATTCTACAAAAATAAACATTAAATACAGATAATGTGTATTAAGTCTGTATCTATAAAACTAGATTCTACAAAAAATAAACATTACATACAGATAATGTGTGATATATTAAGTATTTATTGTTACAAAACATATAGTCAAGTGATACATGAAACATTTATAATCTGAAACAAAAGCATAATAAACATATCTGTGAGTGTGACCATTTTAAATGTCATTTAGATGAATGGATTGAATACATGTACAATGAAGAGAGCGAGAGAAGGAAAAAATAGATGAAAACATGTAAATATTTACATTTAATTTTTTTAACATACTTGAAGAATTCAATCTGTTTCCTGAACATTTATAAGTTAAATATAGTTTCAACAAGCCAACAAATCTGAGGTAACTCACAATTTCTTTTACATAAAGCTTAATAAATAAAAAAAATCCAATTATGCAGTAAGATTAATTATGAAAATCATACCGTGAATGAATGATAAAATAGATTATAATCTTGTAAAAACAGACTTGTACTCAGCATGGACAGGGGGCTGTTATAAAGATAATCCTTGCAATGAAACAGAGATTCATACCACTTGGTGATAAGGTAAGAAGTACTGTATACATGGTTATTTTCGCCCCGCCTTATTTTCACCCTTTCACCCTTTTCTAAAATTCTCCCAGTCATAGTTTTGTGTAAGAAATTATACTGTATTCTTTGAATTTGCCCCATTTTAAATTCGCCCAAATGAGGGTAGGGCCAAAAGGGTGAAAATAAAACGAGGCAAAAATTTCCTTGTATACAGTATTAAAATTATTATCAACAGAAATATAGTTATATAACCTACAGTGTGATTGTCACCCCTTGTACAGTGAAATTACACTGTATAACATAAACTTGATATTAGGAATCAGTTAAATCATAGATAAAAAGAATAAAGCAAAAGTGAAAATCATATAAAGCATGCACAAAGACTTTATAATAGTAAGTGTATACTAGTATCTTCAGAGTACTTAGAATCATGCAAGTTCAAAGAAATATACAAATTAAGATGTTAAATTCACAAATGCATTTAAAAAAAAAAAAAAAAATTAAGTGATTTTTTTCTGTTAACGGTGACTACAATGAAGATTGTATACACAGGGAACTTTTGGATGACATAGTACACATTTTTATAATTTTATTAAGGCGTTTTATTTTTACTTACAGTAGTGTCTAAATCTTTGGCAAATTTAATAATGGATGAAGACATAAAAAAAGAAATAGTAAGTACAAAATTCTCCATGGCATTGTGACATAAAAGTTTATATTATTTTGTATATCCACTTTTCAATATACATTAAATATGGCATAAAGGATATGAACATCATGAGCTTACCCACATAAAAACATATCTAACACTATGTATAAAAACACGATAACCAATGGAATAACAACCGTAAATTCTCTGTCACAAGTGACGGATCCTTGATGAAGAAAAGTTGGATTATCCCAAAATTAATGGGGCAAGAAATGCAAACATTCAACTATATTAATAATATGGCAAAGGAAAAAATTATTGCAATGAAAACTGGCCACATGAATTCTAATCAGTTTGGGAAAATATCTATACAACAGTAATCATGTGTCACTAAATTAACAACAAATAATAAATATACACTTAAAAGTTCAAAGTATCTGTAGTAAAAGATGATAAATATATATATATATATATGTAAGTCCATACTTATGCACATATATTAAAAACTGAATAAAATTATGTCGATTATAGACAGACTCATCATCCAATTTCTTGTCTGCTTTTTGTTTTTAACAATGATTACTACCAACAAAATAAATACCATACTACATACATGTATATTTATAGCCTGTTTAAAAATCCAAAAATGTGGTAAGATAAAAATTAAGGGTTTCTAATTTCATCATAAAAATTCCAACAATCAATTAAGGGCAAGTTAATTTCTTCACAAATAAACATTCTGGTTCATTCCCTCTGTAAATAAAACATTTTACTAATCATACACCTTTGTCCTTGAACTGTGATCTCTAGTACTGGATTTCGACCTTTAACCTTGGACGTGTGAATGACAATCAACCAATCAGCTGTTAGTGTTGTGGTCCTTACTGAGAGTCCCCTGGGTAGGGAATCACATGCTTACCCCTTCAGTTTGATCTTGTAAAGTTTGAGTTTGAATCCACAGATTTCCGTGAGGACCGCGGAGAAGGCAGACAGGACGACGACCTTGACAATGTTATAAAGGACGGGATTGGCTGAGACTCCCGAGATCTTAAATGGGCTTTCTAGTTCCTGTCACAAACGAAGAAAAAAAATTACAATCACATAAGTCAGTCAACTGCAACAATGTGAAAATAAAAAAAAATTATCTTTTTAACTTGTAAATTCTCCCTTCCACCCGCATTTTCTCAATCATTTCGTTACATAATAATTTGCTCATCCAAAATGTCATCTGCATTACAGTCTTTATAAATTAAAATAATAAGCAGTCTTCCTTAACAGAAAAAATTTGCTTGTTTTTCTTTCCTCATTTTTTCTCTGGAATGGCTAATTTATCACAAATCAGGCACCAGTTTACTTCACAAAGCTACTGACCTTCAGTAAGTCCTCGGCCAGTTTCAGGACGTTATTGGCCACCATGAGTTCCTCTTTCTTGTGCGGTTTCTGCTCCATCTGTAGATACAGGTTGATCTGCTCCGTGATCAGGACGGAGAGGTTGCGGTACTTTTTGTTGATCTTCAGTCCGAGGGTCATGAATCTCATCAGGTAGATCCCGAGAGCCATACACCAGATCAGGAGCTCCCAGTTACACAGGAAATCCAGGAAAGTCTCCGTGTCCTTCAGGAGCTATAAATAGAATATAAATACTCAGTCATACAGACAGAAAACTCCTTGATATTTTGGTTGGAAGATAACCTTACTCTGTTTAACCTTATCTGAAGTGTATACAGTAAAAGACGTTTATAATGAATTGACGCTTTAAGCAAAGTATATTTTTTTACCATGTCTTTAAAATATATCGTAAACTCAATCAATATAACAAATAATGTTTATAAAGAAAGCAAAATCACCCATAACGGGCACTTGCTTACAAGCATGATTTACTTATTATATAAAACTTAATGCTAGTATCACTTGTGATTATATGGTATATAATGACTGATACTAATATGTACACATGAGGGTAAGGATGATTTTATGGTATAAATCGAGTGGTACCTACCTGGACACACATAAGGGTGAGGATGATGATGGTAGTGGTGAAGGAGGAGGATACGATAACATCCACTGACCTCTGGGGTCCACGTTTCTACAACATATGAAATGATATGACATTAACAATATCACTTATATCACTAAGATGAAGAGTAAAGTTATTCCCAAGGAAAGAAAACACAATATTAGTAATATATTATGGTCTGCTACTGTATTTGTTTAAATTTTAGAGGAATTCACATTTTGGAGTCTTTTGGTGAAATTCTTCAAATACTGCCAAAAATATAGAGATACACGACTGTATAAAAAAACAGAACATTTTTCATGAATGCATCGACTAACTAATGTCATCTGTATGTTTGCTATATAGTTTGAGGGTGTTACTTTTCAGCCTTTAGTGCAGATATACAGGTGATATACAGAGAATCTTTGATGCATTTATCTTAAATTACATGTAAATAGTTATTTTACATTAGCACTGTACAGAACATGTATGCATCAAACACCCCCTAGTGAAATGTGCTCACCTTTAAGTAGGATCTGAGAGAGAGCCAGGTTTTAATGTTTCTGACTTTGTTCAGACGAAAATGTGGCATGTCAAATTTACGAGCCCTTCTGGAGGAAGTCAAGTAACAGAAATGTTTGGCATACAGCAATCTCTGTAAACAAAAACACATTCATATTTGTAAATATATTCCTTTTGATATTACTTAACTCCTTTGTTTAAATCTTCACATTTCTAATACTGTTTAAGACTGATTAAATTATTTTTCTCCCTCTACTCTACCCCCATACAAGCAATTTTTTTTTAGTGTTTTGAACACAAGAAAGAAACAGCTTTTATCAAGCCTAAGATATACATGTAAAAAGAATTTTTTATTTATCTATTTACTGTAAAATCACATATTTCCATCGGGTCGAATTTTAGAGGTTTGAGATAAAATTATTGGTTTGTGGGGATTTGATTTTGTGGTTGGAGAATGTTTTTTAAGTAATGAAAATTTAAAATAATTTTTCATTTCGTGGTGGTAATGAATTTGTGGGTCTATCCATGCCTCGAAAACCACAAAAATTACCCCCCCCAAGAAAATTAGTGATTTTACAGTATTTATTTATTTATTTTCATCTTTGACCTGTGTACAAACAATATGACTATTACTATATGTACGAGGGTTGTCCCGTAAAATCGTGGACAAGTTGTCTAGTGTAAAAAATAAACATCACTGCGTTCTGAAATTTTCACTATTATTTAGTACATATTTTAGTAATATACACATCAAATTTCAGGTAAATATTTGCATAAATAAACAAATTATGTGATTTTATGTCATGTATTGTATCACCTTACGGCGCAAGGATTATAACGTCAAAGTGTCTAAAACAGCGTCACGTTTTATCTTTGCTGAAAATGAAGTTGGATGAGTCCGACTTCAATTTAGAAATTTCATTGATACACATTCTTTAGTCTCCATAAACAGCCGAAGAACCAATCTGCACTGTCATGCGATATTCTGAAGATTTATCAGTAAGTTACGGACAATATTCTCACCATCATTCAACTAATAATAGAAAATCTCATATTCAGCGGTCTAGTGTGATAGCGTCTTTTGCTATTACATTAGGAGTTTGTCCGTATGTTTCGAACTCCCCAGGGACTCGATCAAAAAAGAATTCGCTAAGAAAACTATTTCATTTGTATACTTAAGATATGGTGATAATTTTAATTTTATAATCTTTTTTCTTCTATGGTCATTTCAAGTCTCTAAAGGTGTCATTACAACATCGAATTGAAACGGAACTGCTCTCTGGTGCGCCGTAACGTCATAAAACGTCGCCATTTTTCGTTTGTTTTGTTTACCACTTTCCCATTTCGAATGCTCGAAAAACTGCCAAAAATTAACCAAATGCCTTAATATTTTTACAAAGACTATAAAATTGATTGTGGAATTGAATTAGGATAATTTTAATCCAAAACTTATGTATTTAAAACTTTTATTTTGAATTCAAACTTGTGTATTCTTTAATAAAACCTTTGTTTTTTGTCCGTGCGCCGTAGGACAATACCCCGTGCACATTCAAGCATATTAAAATCTTTATTTTTGCCTATATTTTATCAAAAAAAATTATCATGCACTTAAATATGATAAATAAACATTTACTGAAATTTTCAGCCTAGTGCGCCCATTACTTTTCGAGAAAAACGCTTTGTCCACGATTTTACGGGACAACCCTCGTACATGAACTATGTATTCAGACAATCTGACCTGTATGTATTTACAATTAAGCTTAAACAAACTCACTTGTTTGAATGTCCGGTCGGCTACAGACAGAAGAAAGAAGAAAACACAACTCAGACAGAATCTCTGTAGGATTCCATTCACCATAACCATGTTAAATCTGAAATCATATATATAAAATATATATACAAACAATACACAGAGTCAATATATAAGCAAGGTTAAATCTGAAAACAAATGGATTACATTTAAACAAACACACATATATATGTAACAGCAGTGCATTTATAAATACGAATGTGTTCAATGCAAGAAATTTTACATAAATGCATTTTTAATCTCAATATTTTTTTAAAGCAGCTTGCGTTCATGTATATCCAATACATGTATAACTAAATTGCAACTGAAAAAAAAGTAGTTAAACTTTTCTTACCAAAATCTACATGTATTCTGTAAGTAGGGTAAAATCATACACTTTCATTAAACTTTTAAGCTACATTCATTATTCAGAGTACATTTTTCTTGGAAGAATTAAATATATAGAGAAACTACAATATTGTTATGGCCCACCTCCACGATTCGGCATTGAGACTCCAGAGTAGATTGACACAGGCCTGTAGATTGAGGAGGTTGTAGAAGTCCTTGGTGTGGTAGATCTTGAACACGATCGGGACACAGCCGATGATGAGGGAGAAGACCAGACCAATCAGAATGTAGTCGGAACTCTCCGGGATGTTGTCCACTTTCTCGATGATCGTCCACCCAATGTCTATCCCGGTCAGTTCCACCTTCTTAGCCTCGCTTCCCTCCCAGATCAGGCAGCTCACTAAAACCAAAAAATATCACAGGAATTTTACACTTATAAGTACTCCTGTTGAGGCTCATCTCTTCTGCTCGCTAACCATGCTAACTCTGTTTTTAGATAATTCTAAACTAATAGATTGGTAAAATTGTGAAAGAAAGAATCTTGAAAGTTAACATTATATTCTTTTTTTGTATATAATGGGTACCAACCTTTATCAGGAGGGTTGGGGTGTCCTAACCCAGAACAGCTGGTGGGCTGAAAAATTAAAACAATAGCAATCAAATTCATGTAGTTAACAATTAAAGTCATCAAGATTAATGGTACTATTTTAACGGAAAACATATATATCAATATCTATTTTTAATAGACACTGTGTAAACATTACCAGTATATAAACTGGAAAAAAAAAACATTAAAAATCATTTATTTTTAATAAATTAACTAATGTAATTTATAATTTCAAATTACATATTTTTTGTCATTTTTTATATTTGCAAGAGTTTTCATGCAAATTTGATATGATAATGTAATAGTAAATAGCTTAACACAGCCAAGTTAAGCTGGAATAAATCACCAAACCTGTTCAATACAGAGAGGCAATACAGAACTAACACCTCATTTAGTGTTAATAAAGCTAAAATTCATAGAGGAGAAATAACTGTCAGACTTAAAGTCATTCAGATGGAGAAATAAGAGCCAAATGAAGTTTTCATTCGGAGAATTTCTGCTAACAGAATGTACAAAAAGAATATCTGTACACCATGCGTTATGCACAATGTGATAACGAGAAAACTTGGTAAATGGATAGAAATTTTAGTAAACAGTTCAAAGATTTATCAAAAGAAACCCTTACATATAAATCAAAAACTACACAATGTAAACATGGTAAATAATTCAGAGTTCATCTACTCAGATTATTTTCACAAATGAAAAACCTACATTATCTATAAACAACTAGTCTAGAACTTTTAATTCAGAGAGATAACTTTCTATGCTTGAATTTATCAACCTAGCATTTAAATTTCAGGTAATTGTCAATTGAAACTAACATCATACATGTTAACTCTCCCGATTTAGGCGGGAGTCTACCGCTTTTTCACTGCATCTCCCGCCTACCGATTTAATTCAAAAATCTACCGCTTTTCTACAAAAGCTGCGTCTAAAGTATTTTTGGTTCGCTTAGGTATCCATTTTTGAAGCCACTCTCACAAAATCTCGCTAGATATCGCGTGATTTGATTCGGAATCATACAAACGCTTTTTTTGCACATAGATTTCAAGCACGGATTTGACAACGACAACAACATAAGACTACCAGGAGTGATTACATTGGTAACGATAAATTAATCGTCATCCCTGCCATGAAAAAGGAGATGCAGCTTTTAAGAATTAGATGAAAACATTTGACATTGTCTTTAAAAGCACAGAAGCTCACAACTTTATCAATAAAGTCAATAGAAATCACTTGATTGACCAAGCCATGTGGCACATCTCTACTTTCGTTTTCGATCATTGTGGGAAATCTGATTTATATAATGAAAGATACCAACTTGTTTTAGATCTAGATTAAACCATGCCATCATTTGTTTTGTTTAAAAAACTGAATGAACATACAGAATTATTGCTTCTAGGCTATTTCAGCAAAGATCACTCTTCAAAAGGCCAAGTAAAGCAGCCAATCCAAGCAAAATGATGAGCATGAAAAATATTTGAATTTGTACAATTTATATATGTCAAACTTAAGGTGTTTCTGTCTTCTTATTGCTGTTGATATTTAAGATTAATAAGTTTCGGTACCTGATTTCATTTAAGGCTTATAATATACATGTATATTACATGAAAGATATCGATAATCCAAGCGTTAAACAACACGCGCGCAATGCTACCGCTTTTGAGGTCTGAATCTCCCTCTTTTTCATCACAATAGGTTAACATGTATGCTAACATTGTATTTTTGTATTACACATATATGTATGCACATTTTTCTGACTAAAGAATAAAGATATTTGTGGAGTAACAGATACATGGATGTCTATGGAGTTATTGTCAACAGAAATATTTTTAACAGATAAATACTGCTCTTTGTCTAATATCTTTTCTACTTTCTACAATACTTCCCAATCTTTAGATAAATTCTGTAATTAATAGTCTGTGACATGAATTATTTCCCCTTCATAAATAGCTAGATAACAACAGCAGATGTCACTAGACACATGCATAGCATAACACGAGTTATATGCCTAGTGTGTTCAGTTCCTCATTATACAGACAGCAAAACAACAGCACATAACAATTGTTCCCCGTCTATAAATAAATCATTATAGATCTCTATTCTGAATATTATCTCTTAAGGAAAGACATTATTAACTAACTCAAATAGTTGTATAGCCATCAGTTTAGTTCAGGACTTATATAATCCTATTTTTACATACATTTTCAAATTCAATAAGGGTTCATATAAAAATTCTCAAGCTAAAAGTATTTGGTACGAATTTCTCACAGCATAAGGAAAAATTCTACCCTTTTGAAAATTTCTACAATTAATCAACAGAGGCATATAATCAATGAAACAGAAAAATATATCGTGAATTTAATCTTTTAAAAAGATTAAGGACGTACACCCCCTTGACAGACAGGAAGCTATTGTTATGTAGACAGAGATGTGACAGGAGAGCGATACATACAGGCTGCAGTAGATTGATTACATGTTGACTGCTGTTCTTTCTCTCCAGGCTGTCAGGAGGAATCGCTCCGGAGTTCGTGTTTATGTAACCCTCGGATAACTCTGCCTGCATCTCGTTCTCACTGAGCTCACTGTCAGAGGAACTGGTGGAGTATGTAGAAGTTGTGACGTCTGATTGGACGCGATCTTCCCATTCCTCAGAACTCACTGTGCCCTAAGAAAAAACAAAATTCTGTGTTAAATAATGCAAGCTAGAAAGATTCAGAGTCATGAAATACATTTTATGAACATCTAACAAGAGGAACGTCTTGATCTTGCCAAAAAAAAAAATCTGCTTTACATATGAATCAAAACTGCGGACTAAATAATTTTGATGAGAGGATTGTCCAATGTGATTTGTTTAACAGTGTTTCAAACACCTGAATGTTTTCTTTGCCTGCCATACAGATCTCCCTACCTTGTTTCCATCGTCTCGTTCCAGACTTGGAGTGAGCTCCCTTTCCTTGCGCCCTGCTTTGTTGTCTTTTGTCAGTCGTCGAGGCCTGCAGTAGGACGCCCCCGATTCTGAGCTATTATCCTCCACACGGGTCTTCCGTCGCCTCAGTCCCTGGAAGGTCCGGATCTCGGAGTCAGACTCAGCTCTCTCAGAGTCAGACTCAGATTCTTTCTTCAGATCCTTGGGATAGTTAGGTGATGGTAGCTCTAGACTGGACATCTTTGTTTGAGTCTCGTCTGATTCCGTCAAGTCTGGCCTGATGTCGCCGGGACTGGAGATCTCCATTAACGGAACATCTTTCTTCTCCTCTATCTGACTTTTTTCTATTGGGGCTTCCATATCTTTGTTGATGTCTGGATTATGTTCTGTCACTCTGTAGTCTATGACTCCATCCTGGTTCAGAACAAATATTTGTCCATCTGTGACTGCAGGTGCTTCCAGATGAAAGTTAATGTCGTTTTCCAGACTCTCCATTGCTACTCTATCTGCAGAGATTATGTCTAGTGCACTAGAACTAGCATGGATTCCTTGCATGGCACTGTCTTCTTGTTCCTGGGATTGCTGACTCGTGGAGGAGTTATCTCCCTTGGATTGGAGCTCTTCGACTCTCCTTCCTGTTCTCTCAGTCTCCGAGTCGCTCTCCTGACTAGATTTAGTGGACACTCGTTTCTGACTAGATTGGGACTTCCTATCACAATGGCTCCAGCTGACGGACTTGGACTCCAGGGAGGATTTCTTGTCACTCATGGAGGAGGAGGAATCCTCAACCTTCACCCGACCGTTAGCAATCAGAACGCTCTCCTTGCTAGGTTCAGTTGACCTTTGACCTGTCTGGTCTGACCCACTGACCCCACTTGCTGGAGTGGAGTTACTTCTAAATGTGTTTCTTCTGCTTCTTTTTCCATCTCTACAAAAGTCAGTTGTCAGAATCAAATTGTGTCATCATGATTCATATACAAATGTATACCAAACCTAAGTGACATTTGGGGGCAATATTTGCCTTCTTTAATCTTCGTTTTTGCCCTCTCTATGAGGTGACCTATGTGAGATGTGTTTGTGTGTATGAAAGATGGAAGGTGGGGTTAGGAGGGTGTTAAAATATTTCCCTGTTTGTGCCCTTTCTGCGAGGTGGCCTATGAGACACGTGTTTGTGTGGGGAGGAGGGGAATGGGGTGTGTGTGTAATATTTACCTGTTTTTTTCCTGTCTCTGTGTGGTAACCATGTTTGTGGGGGGTGGCAAAGGTGGGTATTTACCTGTTTTTGCTCTATCTGTGCGGTGGTCTATGTGTGTGTGTGGGGGGGGGGGGGTTGTATAACATTTACCTGTTTTTGCCGTCCCTGTGCGGTGGCCTATGTGACATGTGGGAGGCAACAGTATGAGAATGAACCACCCCCAGGAGCAGCATCAAGATGGTGGGGATCACAACCAGGGTCAGGCTCAGCTCCTGTGTACAAAGAAAACATGGTGAAAACAGATCAACTTGGGTAAATGTTTATCTACTAGAAATTCTATTTTTCTACCAATTTTTACTCCATGAATTTTACTTCTGCTCCCAATGATTTTTTTTTACACTAAAAATCCTGTTTCTTTTCTCCATATTTTTTCTAATGATCTGCGCTGACTACTCACATCTTTAGTGATGCGGTTGCCGGTGTTACGGATGAAGATCTGAGTACCCTGGTACTTACGTCTTTAGTGACACGATCGCCGACATTACGGATGAAGATGACGATGGTGAAGACCTGGAGGATGTATAACATCAGAAGGAAGAGCCAGAACTTGAAGGTCACCTGCTGGCACCACCTAGTGAACAAATAACAGTACAGTACTGAAATGTCTGGCTTCTTTTTGCTTTTCCTCACAAATGTTAAATGTCTGTTTTAAAAAATATTAAGTAACAATTGTTGGCAGTACGAAAATTTTTATATTTTTTTTCATGATATCCATAAAGATTACATCCTATAATCACTTTAAATGAACTCACAAATAAACAACTTACCATCGATAACAAAGGGGATAAAACACAACCCTGCAGACCGCCTTGTGAGCTATGTAAGTCCATGATACTTGTGGCTTGGCTTTGGAAAAAGTTGAGCCTGTTAATATTACAGATAACATCTATATCAATTATAACAAAAATTTTAATTAAGAATAAATAATAGCAGTCTTTACAGGATTTATTTCCCCACAAGTGCATCCTCTGATCAAAGGATATTCTAGATGCTTCCATATAAAACTTAAACACATACTGTAAACGTGGTTATATTGACGAGTTGAAAAATTGACGATTTTTTATTTATGAAAATTGACGAGTGTTAATTTTGACGAAATATTTAATCAAGAGTTTCAAATCTTTGGATTCATGGGGATAAAAAGGCAGCGTCGGAATCACTAAATTTTTAATTTTTGTACAAACTATATCTACGTGTGTAAGATTTGATTAAATATATTGCCCTCTTGTAATTTGTTTTCATTATAAGTGGTCAAGGTCAAGCACGGCGTGATAATTACGCTAATTTGCGCATGCAGTATTTGATACACTAATTTAGATTGAATGATTTTTAAAAATGTGATTATATCTCACTATGTTTTCATAACTAATTACAAAAGAAATTAACAGTGACTTTGATCTAAGTTATAAAAGGAAAAAGTCGTGAAAATCTAGCGGTAAAGTTGTACAATGGTCAATGTCTCTTGTGACGCTATGTATATGGTAAGAAGTTTAGTGTAAATTTGAGAAAAGATAAATCGTCAATATAGTCAAAATTAGCACATCGTCAAAATTTCCACGTTTACAGTACTTTAAAATCATATATTTTTGTGGGGTCAAACTTTCGAGGTTTGAGGAAAAAATGTTTGTTTGTGGGGATTGATTTCGTGGTTGGAGAATGATTAGTAGGAAATGCATATGAAATTTTACATTTCGTAGTGGTCATAAATTTTGGGTCTCTCAATACCTCGAAAACAACGAAAATTAAACCCCCACGAAAATTAGTGATTTCAAAGTACATAAATTGACCGAATACTATGTTTTAGTCAATTAGATGCAAATTGATACAACTTATTTTTTCTCATGTACGGCTGATCGTAGAAAGTAGGTTGGATGCAGTATCAAAAAAAAAATTTGAAAAGATTAGGTCTTTATGGTTTTGTTTGTAAATCAAGTGACAAACATCATATACAAGGAGTGTGCAAATTGTGTTTTAGATCTAAACAGAAGCATAAAATATATATCAAATGCAGCATAAAAAGCATGCTTCTGTACATGTGCACAGGAGAACATGATAAGTAAATAACTGAAATGAAAATTTAATTATCTCAAACTTAAAGACAAATTGTTACTGAGTTAGAATTACCTCTGACTAAATCTACATCAATCAGCTCTGTTTTTATCTTCACATTCCTTCTAGGGGCCGACTGTATCCCCTATAACGAAATACACTGCATGTTACCATCATTACAATATTTGGTTTTACCATCATAACCATGATAACATACAACAATATGCCATTCAAAAAAATTTGCAAACTGAAAAGTAGTACGTTCAAACAGATCATGAATAGATTACCTGTAAGACCCGTGACTCCACCGACTGCTCCCAAAGTTGTTTGTCGTATGATCCGATCTAAAAAAAAATAACTCAATAAAAAACAAAAATTATGATAAATATCTATCTTATCATTTTTATTTAAACAATTTGTTTTATATGCCCCCAATATTCCTAATGCCCTCCGACCTGTATTGACCTTTACAATATTCGTAATGCCCTCTGACCTGTTTCTGATACCAGGCTACAGTATCATGGACTTTATCCATTCCTTGTTGACCTCCAGCTGATGTTGATGTTTTAGTCAGGACACACTCCTTGAAGATGAATTAATTTATCCAGTTATAAGGAAGCTCTCCTTTACAGACCAGGGTCTTCTTCTTTTAAATTGGCAGTATTCCGTTTGACACTCCTAGACTTTGCCTCACTGTATCTTCCACTCAGCTAGCGATACTCTGATGTCAGCTGCTGAACCTGGAACACAATGGCGCTCTCCAGAGAAATTAAAATCACACTGGCAGCGGAAAACTTTGGGATTTATCTAAAACAGAGAAACAATGACTGACAACAAACTGTCATAATAAACACTGAATTTAAAATCCCCATGAGGAGTCACTCAGTGTACACTCAGACACATAAAGTGCACAACTCACATTAAATTTCCCTTTTTTAAATGATTAAAAAAGCTCCCAAGTTAGAGATGTTTTAATGTGAAGTTTCCATTGGAGAGGGAAACAACAGTAAATTATGCATTGATTCTTTATACATGATATGTATAAAACCATTCTTTGCAATTTAAAGAAAGACTTTCAAAAAACAGACAGTGGTATGACATAAATCGTGTAAAGTTGTCACTATTTCTGGCGACCTATTTTAAGTTGCTACCTTTACTAGGCAGGTCAAGCACTAAAACATTCCTTGATCTTTTAATGAGCAACATTTATCATTCTTAATTAAACATCTTGTAATCAAAGTATTTGCTGAGTGCAGCAATTTTCTGTCTTGTCATTAATGCATGCAGAGAGTACAAATGAAATATGTACTATTAAAGAATCACTTTCTCATAAAATTTATTTAATGTTTTGACAAACCTCACCTCTTAGATTCCAGACAAATTTTAACACAAACAATTTAAAGTACTTAATCAGAATGTACTCTGAAAACACATTGCCTAATTTACAAACGATATGAGTGATTTTTAACAGTTAACAGTACGTTTGCTGAAATTTAATCATTAAGCATGTTAAGTGAAACCAAAGAATTAAATTAATCAGTGAAGTAATTAAATTGTTGTTACAGAATTCATTTCCTATAGGGCTGCAGGAACTAGGAAATCATTTTAAGATTGTGACACACGGTACCATGATACAATCAGTGTGTCCTTGATTTGAAAATTAATGTAACAACATGACCCTGTTTCAAACTATTTTTTCATTATTTTTTTCCCATATGTACATGATGTAAGTACTGGATGTCTGATATGTATAAGGATATCTGTTCAATAAATCTTAGCAATCTCACTGGACCAGGAATTTAAGTCAAAACTTGCAAAAAAGCTGATAAAAAGATTTTGAGGATAAACCATTAGTTATCAAACACAAAAGACTTTTAATTATCTTTGAACTTCACTTGGTTTGATTAGGATTAAAATTTTATTCCTTGCATAATGACTTCAAAGTCTTTTAATTATACCTGAGCATGGGTTTTTTAACCTAACAAATAAATTGTAACACAACAATCATAACTTACATGTGAAAATCCAAAATAAATGATGAACGATATTCCACAGAATTTTATTCTGCTTTCCGTTTTCACACAATTAATGTATAAATCACCCCATATATTCAGTGTGTGTATTGTATGTTGTTAAAAGCCTTTCTGTTCATATCCCACCAAGAATTATATATTTATGATTTGTCTGGAAATTCACAAAGTCTACTTTCTAAGAAAATCATGTGACTGTAATTTTACACCAGTTTACCATTTCCATTGTCATTCTTGTATGTACTAAGATTGATACGTGAGAAATTAAGTAGAAGTATTCTGGCTATGGCCTCTATAATTATTTTTTAAATGGACAACAAAAAGCAGCAAGATAGTGAAGATTTATCTAGACAAAGCCATTTAGTTATATATATTTACAAAACTGTAATTCTCCAAGAAAATATCCAGCAAAAATCATGGCTTTCATTGACAGACATACCCCAAAAACTTCATTTACATGAGGCATAATAAATAAAATCATTTCGTTTTGTGGTATTTTTAAAGATTTGTTAGCTTTGAATGATGTCATGTATGTAATTATATTCCCATATATGACATAAATTAAACTATGCCTCCTTCTTGTAACCTTAATCGCACAACTTGGACCAAATGTCAGGAATGCATAGATTATGCCGACTCAGGGTGTAAAAATTATAACAATTTACATGAAAGTTGTCCCTTTTTTCATTATTTCCAGGAAAATTAAGTAAACAAGTTTTCACAGAAATTGTTTTTGCGTATTACACTAATAAGACCATTCACCCGTGACTTTCAGAGCTAAAAACAGACATTTCATCAGTGTCTGTGAATTTTTTACCCATCCTGCTTTTCTGAGATAACCCCATGACCATGAATTTCGGCAGCATACAATTAAAATAATTCTAAGTAATTTCAATGATTTTTTATGAAGAATATGAGTATAGTTATGAAAATATGTGGTCTCAAATATCAGTAAAATGTAACACTATCCTCTAAACATGTGTAAGTCATGTACATTTAAACCCCTCATATAAACATTTAATCAAAATGCATGCAACTGATAGAAAAAAAGCATCAACCTCTCTAACTTCAGGCCACATTTTGAACATCAACATGATCAATGAAAATCAAGAATTATGATATAATTATTAATCTTAATATTAAATACAAATTAATTTGATATAAAATTTGCTTGATTTATGAAGTCCTATTTAATAACTATACACCTATCCATCCAGTCAATGTTTTGTTTATACACAAGTTTTATAATCTTAATAAATACAAATTTGATATTTGCCTGATTTAGGAAGTCCTAAAATATCTATTCACCAATCCACCGAGTCAATGTTTAGTTTATATGGAGTATCCAAGGTTATGACACAGCGGCCACATGACTAGAATTGTCTGTCGCCTTGTAACAGATCTCCATATAAAGAGAAAAATAAAGTGTCTTTAAAAAGCAGATTTAAAAAATAGAAATTGTTATGAATGTAACAAGAAAGGAGTAAATGTATGGCTGGATGGGGAATTGAACCCGTGACCCCTGCATCACTAGTCAGGTCACTCAGGTGCTCTGCCAACTGAGCTACCCGGGTCAATATCCACAGCCCAAACCATTACATGTCATGTCTACATAATAAACCAGTATTCCACACATTGCATGGTTCAATTTTACCTACAACATGTAATCTATGAGGTGTCAGTGCTAAATTTTCAGGTGACTGCATATTATTTCTATACCAGTCTTGATGTTTCAGTGTGAAAAACAAGCTGCCTAAATGTTGCTTTCATATCAACGAAATATAATAACACAGCCATTTAAACCAGACAGCTGAGTTCAAGTACCTTTTCTTTTTCAATAGCCATTTTTTTTCTAGATATTAAAATAAATGCTTCATATAACACCTAAGAATATTTTCATATTTCAGCATGTGACAAAATTCTTAGATGTGTTTTTATGTACATGCAAATTCAATACAACATTTTTTAAAAGTTAATTGATCTCCTTAAACTGATATATATCATAAAACAGCTGATTCAGTTGAACTCTTTTTAATGCCAAGTTCTGATAAAGGTCAACATTTTAAATGTCCGATTAACATGCTTAACAGAATGTTTTGAACTGCGGGCACATCTTTGTATCTGATCAGAAATCAGCTGATACACACTGATTAAACGTAATACAGTTTTTGTGCTTTGTCATATATACACATCTGAAAATTAAGCTCTGATGAAGCTTTGCTTTTATAATCTTTTCCTATTTAAAGTATACATTCTGATTTCATTTAGGAAAACAAAAAAAAAAAAAACCGAGGTTTTATTTAGATGGAAACAATATTAATATAAAAATTTTCTAGAAAAGGGACAACTGGAAGTAAATGAACGATTTTGACTAAGTTTTTTTTTTACAGTATATAAAAAAAATGTTACTTTCGACTTGGCGCCGCGTAATGTTTAGTAATGTATTACCTCATACTATTTTTATGCTATAAATACCCAAACGGAAAATGCAACCTCATGATATAATGGAAATGTATGATTTAGTTTTATTATATTCATGGAAAATTTACTTTAATTATTGAATCACTTTACTTACTCTTTATAAGAAAATGCACTTATTGGTAGAATCCAACTGATTGAATCAGTCAATCATGTTCAAGGTGATAAGAAATTTTGAAAAAAAAAATTAACTTCCTAGCTGACATCAATGCTCCCCACATTTTTTTGTACATCCTGTATACAAGTATATAACCTATTACAGTTCTCTGTTGTTCCAGTAACATGTGAATCAATGGGATAGCTCTATATTTAACATGTTTAATTGACAGGGATATTTTTTTCCTTGTTTAGAAAATTAGAATGTGATGCCAACAGTCATAGTATATGTGTCAAGCAATTTTACTTTGGGCTAGAGCTGAACCAATACATGTATATGAAAACAAAGTATCGATATTCAAGTGTGCATCATGTTGATGCATTAATTAGCTTCCAAGGCATATCGGTCACAGTTTTTCTTTTAATACTGTTAAAAAACAAAAATTGGAAATTTCATTCAACAAACATGACAAAGGTTTGTTTCAAGGGGTGCGTCGATTTACCCAAATGGACCCAAATGGAACCCAAATGGACCCAAATGGAAACAAATGGACCCAAATGGAACCCAAATGGACCCAAATGGAAACTCAAATGGACCCAAATGGAAATCGAATGGATCCAAATGGAGTATAAAATATATCTATACAGTGTATTATCGTATTCTCAAATGTTTACTTATTTAAAATATTGCAAATAATGAACTTAATAAAAGAAAAACATTTTAATAATTATTTTCTTATATTGTATTTAAAAAAACAAAATTCGATTTTTTCCCATTTGTAATTACTTTTGCACATAATTGGATACAAAACTGGAGTAAAGAGTGTCCATGTCAGTCAGAACAAAGTGGAGGGGGGGGGGGGGGAATGAGAGGCCAACCCCCACCCCCCTGATTTTGCCGGTACATATAAAATGATATAAAAATAATTCAATTTCATGTCTCAAAATACAATGTTAGAAATGATTTATTAATTTAAAACTCAATTTTAACTGTAAGATCATTTATTTTAATCATTTTAAATAAGTAATAAAATACGATAATACATATTTAATATTCCATTTGATTTCCATTTGGGTCAATTTGATTTCCATTTGGGTCCATTTGTGTTTCCATTTGGGTCCATTTGTTTCCATTTGGGTTCCATTTGGGTCCATTTGGGTCCATTTGGGTAAATCGACGTGCCGGTTTCAAGTGTTCTTTTTTTTTTTTTAAAGGCCAATATAATTAAATAAATGTTGATATTCTCTAGCTCCACTGCATATTAAGAACTTCACATCGAGTGTTTTAAACAATGTATAAATTAAGATTAGCAATGTAAAAAATTAACACAGTTGGGAAATTTCTCAGGCCTGTGCTGCTGTCACTTGTCAACCATACTCAAGGTCACACTTGGAACTAAAAGTTGAAGAATTAGAATTTATACTTGCCATATTTTTGCACGCTGGGGCATAGGTAACCATATACTATTTTTTGTCAAGAATCATACTTTTTGAATCAATATTACATACTAGTAGCTGAGGTACATGTAACTTTTAAACAGTAGATCTACATGTATCATGGTGAACTTTATACGAATTACCCAGCAATTTTCCTACTCAAGTGAGGAATGCCTGTGAAATTAGTAAATTGTTGATATATTTCTAGTTAGTTAACTTAGGTTATAACAATTTTCTTGCAAAAGATTGGAAATTATTAAAAATAGGCATGATGAAATTCTAAAAAAATACAGGGTAAAATCTAGTAATGTACAAATCATTGCTGTAGAGATAATATAATGAAGGAAACAAATCAACTTATCTGTCTGTGTTATCCCCCTTTGTCATAGGGGTCATTCCTCCTTAAGAACAATATCTTCCTATTTATTATCATACTTAAACATGTTGAAAGACAAGATTTAATTGAGACTGATCGACTGTTTTAGTATGTGACAAGGACTAAGCCGAGAGAGTCACGTAAAATATGCCTTCCTTATTTCAAAGATCTATGACCTAACCTTGAAGATCCATTCTTGTCTGCATATCTTATTAGGATAAACCAACAAGGGATATAAAGGACCTCATGGTTGAGAAAAAAAGTGAACGGATTGAATCTAAATAATTAGATCTCCAATAAACTCCCAGAGTCATGCTCGTTCAATTCTTTTAAATTCAAAAGATTTCAGCAACTTTAAGGCTTTTCCCCAACTGGAGAAAATGTTTTATATCATTAAAATTAATATTGTCTTATTGACCCGAGGGATTGTTCTGTGACACAGTTAGATAACTGGTCTGTATACCTTATTTCTTTCAACTATAAACAGCTAGTGTTTTTGGTTATTTCTAAAAAATAAGATTAAATTTATAAATACACAAATGTTATTCTTCTGTCAGTTCTGACTGTTTAACCATCATAACCTGTTAACTGTAAACAGTTTTGTTGTTGTTGTCATTTTTCAACAGCATATGAATAAACATATTAAGGTTAAGGTACCAAGAAGGAATATTGTAATGTCAGTACCATTTTACACATGTTTTACATGATCAAGCATGAGTTAGGGAAATATCCAGCGTCTTTCTAAAGATACTCTTATCCAGTTACACTTTAATCCAAGATTCCTCTGACTCTAACCCCTGCTTTTATTTTGTGACTTGTGCAGGGCACAAGTCACAATTTAAAAGTTCCCCTGCACAAGTCACAATATAAAAGTAGGGGTTCGAGTCAGAGGAATCGCGGATTAGTTACACTAGTGAGTTATCCGACTTAGTATCAGAGAACAATATGGCCTTTGTTACACTAAAGAAAAGAAGATTACATCTGACAGATTCCCAATGTCGATTACGTCTTCAATTAACCAAGTGGCACATATGGTGCGGAACTTGCGTAATCAAAAATATCTTCAGCAACATTACCTTGTGGACTAAGCCTTTGTCTCCATTACAAAGCAGACCTATGTACAAAATTTCTATCACAAATGAATGGCTTATGGTTACTCCTTACCTTATCCTGCCATTTTTTCACTTCCTAAACTCCGTGATATTGATTTTATTCGATAACCCTTTGGTTGTACTCCACTTATCACCTCCCTCCACTGAAGATTTTCGAAAATTGTTCTCGCATCGCGATCCCGATGCAAAACATTAACGGGCTGAATACGTACATTTCATGAAAATAGCTGTAAAGTTGAATATTGCACAAATTGACAAAACGATTTAAACAAAAGTTCATATTTCTAAATAATTTCTGAACTGGTTGAGATCGAACCACCAGACAAAAACATTTATTTTAGAATGCATATCGTATTGAAACATTTCAATTTTACATATACCAATATGGTCTTTGTGTAACTTACCATGCTTACGGCTGTATAAATATTACGTGCAGATGTATTTTAGAAGAACTTTTCAAAGGATGAAAATCATTAAAATCGATAGGAATATAATGCTTTAGTTATAGGCCCCTTCAACAAAAAAAAAAAAAAGAAAACGAAACTCAGTTGGAATTTTTTTTATATCCGACTGGTTTGATACGCAGGAACACTACTGACAAATAGGTTGACATTTCAGGGAATGTAGTCCTTGTTAAACGCCATCAGTTTGCAGATTATACATGCAGTTATTATAATTTGCACATACAACCTTTTAATCGTTGCGTCGTACTTTGTATGATATGTTTCGGCATACCGGTCCGTGTATGTTCATTACCTGCATGGAGAAGCTAGATGCCATCTCCTTTCATAACCCCTCTTTGCCCACTGAATGCAATTTACTGAAACTTTTAATAAATCTAATTTATTAACTATTTATTGACAATATTTTGAATTTTCCATAACATAACAGAGATGATGACTTCCACTTTCTATCTATATAATGTCTCATCTGTAATCCATACCTCTTTACGTCTTATACTACCAGGGAATAAAATATTGATGTGTTCACATTTAAATCTATATTAAACATGTTAAATTAAATATTTATTTTCAAGTGTCATACCTCCTTTTCACGTTTTTAATGGGCATATTAATTGTATGTAGGGTTTCATGAATTTTGCCATTATTCTCAATGAATGGGTATATCCATATTGTGAACTCCTACTATATAGTCCATACTGAAAATCAGTGGGACTTTTACATAATGTCAGGTTCATTTACATAAGTACTCACAATAAATGCATTTTGTGATAATATTCAAATGGAAGTAGAGCATCCTTTTGTGAGCTCAGTGCCCCCAGTACCTAGATTTTATACTGAAATTTACTACAAATTACCCAACACTGAAGCTCTCTCTCTCTCTCTCTCTCTCAAAAATGGAACATTCAGTAAAAAAAAAAAAAAAAATCAAAATCAAAAGTAATATTTAAAAATCAAGATGTCTTTGTGATAACACCGATGCCTCGGGATAGCAGCTATTCGCGAGGGTCGAAATTTTTCAAATGCAAGTCAAAATCCCAGGTCAAGGTCAAAAGGTCAAAATTGTTGGTATCTTAAAGAAGGAATTGTAATAAGGGTTAAATTTATAAAATAAGAAAGCCCAGTACTAACTGCTCAAAAGTGTTGGCATCGGTAAAAAAAATTTAAAAAGTGGGTCAAACGCTTAGGTCAAGATGTCAAATTTTGTGGTATCCAAAGAAAGGTCTTTTCATAAGAAATACACTTGTGAAATATAAATGTCGTAGCCCCACCCACTCTAAAGTTAAGGGCAAGATTCAGTAAAGTTTTTGTAGACATGTAAACAGACAAACAGATTGTCGAACGGATAGGACAAAAACTATGTACACCCTGATCTTCGATTAAGGGGGCATAACAAGCGTAAACAAGATGTGTTTTTGAAACACTGATGCCTCCTTATAGCAACATTGCGAAGGTTAAATTTTCTCAAATGTAAATCTAACATCTTGATACCCAAAGTAAGACCTTCTCACAATTAAGAAATAGAAATGTGAAATATAATACCCTAGCACCACCTGTTCATAAATTATGGCAAAGATTAACGTTTTTAAAATGTGGGTCAAACTTAAGGGTCAAGGTTGTTGGTATCTAAAGAAAGGCATTGACACAAAGATTACACATGGGAAATATGAAAGCCCTAGCCCTAAACGTTCAAAAGTAATTGCCAAGGTTTAAGTTTTTAAAAAGTAGGTAAAACTCCAAGGTTAGGGTCAAAGGGTCAACGTTTTTGGTATCTAATGAAAGGTCTTGTCACAAGGATAACATATATGTTAAGCATGAAAGCTCTACTATAGTAGCCCTTACCGTTCAAAAGTTATGGCCAAGGTTATTTTTATAAGTGGGTCAATCAATAAGGTCAACGTCAAAAGGTCAAAGTTGTTGGTATCCTATGGAATGTCTTGTCATAAAGAATACATATGTAAAGTATGAAAATCCTAGCACCAACCGTTCAAAAGTTATTGCCAAGGTTAAAGTTTTTTTTAAAGCAGGTCAAACTCAAAGGTCTAGGTCAAAGGGTCAAAGTTTTTGGTATCCAATAAATTAACGCACTTGTCACAAGGATTACATATGTGAAGTATGAGAGAGTTCAAAAGTTATGACCAAAGTAAAAGTTTGGAATTTTTATGCAAAAGTGTGTCAAACTACAAGGGCAAGACCAAGAGGTCTAATTTGATTGTATCCAAAGAAAGGTCTTGTCACAAGGAATACACATAAAGCTGGCCATAAGCTGCCATACTGGGGCAATAGCGTTTCGGAGTTGGAGGGAATATTGTAACGCGTTTGTGTCTATTAGTCTATGTATGTGTTAGATTGTCCTTGTTCAAAATGGGATCAATGTCGAATGCTGACTTGAATTGCAGATCGATATTTGCTGACTTGATTAATAGATGTGCTCTTTGTGAGGGGATGCTCCGCTGCCTTCGTTAAGTTTGATTTTAAAGTAGGTCTATACTCGCACTATGTCATTTACGAATAGTAAAACCGGAACCGCGCTTCCTTTTTCCGAGATAAGATTTTTTTTAACTATATTGGTTTGACTTTTACTTAGCGTTTTAAATATCCGGTAACGATTTTGCTCGAAGTCGGTCGCGTCAACAAACACATATTCTACAGTTTAAGGATAAATGAATTAAAAAGAGAAGGCTGGGAACAACTTTCGGTTGACAGAAATAATTAGGTAATAAAACGGTATTTCTGGGAATGATGCATGTTTTATATGCCGCGCCGAAAACACGGACCATATACATGCTACATCAGAACATGTATCAAACTATCGAGGCGATTATTGTCGGCGGCCAAGTTGAAGCTAATAGTGAAAATTCGGAAGAAAAGTAATTACTACGATTTGACTTAGACAATTTATGGATTTTACTAATCAAACATTACAAAATTTACTTTGAATAATAATTATTGCATAAAACGCATACCCCCCTCCCCCAACCTGCTTACCCACGAATCCCAATGCAAAATTATCTTTTGAATTTTTGATATATTTGAATATTTGACAAAAGTTGATTCACTTGCAGCACACTTCGTTACTTTCTGTAGCAAAATCATCCAGTTTCTGAGAATCAGTGAATTACTTTCATTTTCATCGTCTCCAATTTAAAGACAAGTGTGTTTTATTTATTTATTTTTTTTTGAGTAAAATAAGATAAATTTTAGGGACATTTGGTTTTGGGTGTGTATAATTATTGTTTTAAATTATGTACAACCTTCTTAATACAAGTATACACTCAAACATAAACACTATTACAGAAATATGTGGCAATATATTACTTCTGGAAGAAAGAAAATAGGGGGGTCCCTTTAGTGTAGAGCTGATACCACGAAAAGTAATGCGTCAGCATATAATTTTTTAAAGCTTATTATTTTTCTTAAATATAATTTAGTAAAAATAATGCAAATTTACGAAGTTTGAGTCCATAATTTTTTTTAATGACCGAGATTGTCCTGTGAAGCATATTTTCTCACATTAAATTTTGATACAATAGCCTAACAAAGTGCATCTATTTATAATAATTCATGCAAAACAATGATATTATATTGTTTACTAACATGTTTCTACTCTATTTTGGGTATTAAAGTTGAATATTTAGACTTCAATTAATTTATATACAACAAAATCTAGGATAGGTAAAATTTCAGTATTTTACATTTCGGGGTATATACTCCGATACGCTATAGCAGAAAAGTGAACATGTTGACATATAATTTTTCTTGTGTCTATCTATTGCTGGGATTTATGTCTATCTTATAAAAGCAGATTTTTAAAGATTGAGCCCATTTAGTGCCGAGTATAGAACTACCTTAAGCTACACATAACAAACAAGATATGTTTGTGAAACACTGATGCCCCCGTATGGCTGCTTAGGGCGAGGGTTGATTTTTAAAAAAAAAATGTATGTCAAATTCTAAAGGTCAAGGTCAAAATTGCTGGTACCCAATGGAAGGTATTGCCGCAAGAAATAAAATTGTGAAACACGAAAGCCCTGTTTCTAACTGAATAAAAGTTATGACCAAGGTTATATGTTTAAAAAAATGAATCAAACTCTAATGTCAAGGTCAAAAGGTCAGAAATATTCATACCCACTGAAAGGTGTTGTCACAATGAATATACACATGTGATGTATGAAAGCCCTTGCATCATCTGTTCAAAAGTTATGGGCAAGGTTAAAGTGTAATAATTTTTTGTAAAAGTGGGTAAATCTCCTATGTCAAGGTCAAAAGGTCAAAATCGGTGGTACACAAAGAAAGGTCTTGTTAAATTGATACACCTGTGAAACATGAAATGGAATATATGGAGATAACAAACAGTATTCAAGCTCAAAAGTCCAATAAACAATACAAAATAGCAGGTGGGATCAGGTGCCATGGAAAAGTGAGAACCCCCTGCCGACCGGGAACACTCGCTGTGTGCTCCTCGTCATGATTGGGAAATAAGGGGAAATCCTTCGTCAATTCAGTGTGTAAATAATGGACTAACAATTAGTATGAAAAACGCCAGTCAGCATTTGACTCAAGTTGATCACTCAACGATAAATTATATTTGCTGACAAGGTCATTGTATCGACCATAGATCTTCCGAAGTGATGTCTTTAATTATCGATACTGCTGAGATTCTTGTTTCATGAATGAATGTCACTGTATCGACCAAAGAAATTACGAAATGATAACTTTAAACGAGACTGCTGATATTTAGCTATATAGATAGGCCCACCCACTCAAAAGTTATGATAAAGGTTAAAGTTTTTCTTGTTTTCATTGTAAAAAATTGTTGTAGTTTATAGAAACTGGAAAAAAAGAAAAACTTTACATCGTTAAAAAAATTATTATTATTATTATTTCAGAAATCTAATTTCCGATAACAAAATTTAGAAAAATTGATTTCGTTTTATCAGAGACCTATATACTAAGTATATTTAGTATATAAGCCCTTGCTTTATGTCTAAGGCCACAGCAATTTAATTTCTTGTTCGTCGCACATTTGATGAAAAAAGTAAGAGCGGTCAAGCGGTTAACTAATAATATTAAATTACTTTTTGTAGAGAAATAATTTAGGCGGAACGTGAAGAAATTTGAGCGGACAATTATATTTTTTCTGATTTGCATGGTAAGCAGATGAAAAATACAATAAATAGAGCGGAAATGGGACAGGAAATTACTCAGAATTTCCATGGCGCGGGAAATTTTGAATTAATATTATTTTTCTAGTTTCAATTAATTACGAACGTGCGGGTCCGACGAACAAAAATTTTTATTGGTGTGGCCTAAATGGAAAATAAATGATTCAGTCAAATTTCGGGACGATTCATATTGAGTTCCACTCCTAGAAGTACTTCTAGTACTTTGATTCAAGTTTTCTTCGGGATCGAAGTACATCTTATTCTGAATCATTTGTTTACATCGCCATATTTAACTTGAATGCCGGGAAATGTGATAATTAGACGCGTGCAATCTCAACTTCTTCACTTGATGTACTTTGACCAGCTCATTGTTTAATTATTTTTAATCAGAGTCTCTCCGTGAGAAATAGAATGGTTCAGCGGGGTGAATTTTACATGGGCTCTGGTCTCCTGCAGCCCCTTACCATTATTGGCTTACCGCTAGATCAAGTAAGTTGACATTGTTGACTTTGCCCTGCATCTATAGATGATCATGGTGTCAGTGATAACAGAATAATGGTGTAATACGCTGTATTATTTCAAAGGCAGTCTAAATTGGAGATAAATATAGTTATTTTTCGTGGAAATGAGGGGGTCTCATGACACATTGCACCACAGGAGTCGGCAATTTTATCAATAAATAGTAAATAAATGGTTAACAGGCATAAATACTACCAGTGAGCTTCGCGAGCGTAGCGGGCGCGCGCTACGCTCGCGAAGCTCACTGGTAGTATTTATGCCTGTTAACCATTTATTTACTATTTATTGATAAAATTGCCGACTCCTGTGATTGCACAAAGATGGGGACAGCTGGGGGAGTTAAACAAGAGTGCACTGGGGGGGGGGGTATTTGAAATAAGGGGTTCTTATTTCAACAGATGGGTCCACGATTTGCACCCCATTTTTTTCTTTGTAATGATGATAACAGTCACAACTAAAAAGACAAGCAGCAAAAACCTTTAAATACTTAATAATTTTCAACTGTTTTTCAATTAATTTGGTTTTACAATTAGTTTCATAAATAGATTATAATTTAATCATTTGGATGTGTTACAGTATTACTCAATTTTATTTTTAGATTAAGAAACACCAGATCATAAAGATGTCAAGTAGATTTCTGTACGATGCAGAGTACATCGACCTTTCACATAATTCTTTATCACACCTCAACCAAGATTTTTTAGTCGTGGTTCACATTAAATCACAACTTGATCAACAATGATCAAGGAAATCATATTTGACTAGATCTAGCTCTAGTGCAATCACTGTAAGGAACATAAGAAAACATAACATATTATCAGTAACCAGGAAAGAAAATATGATAAAAAGCTCATGTAGAAGTCTTAGGGATTTTGTTTTAAATATATGTATTGTACATGTAAGTTAACAAACAGTGAAAAATATGAGGTTTGGGTTCATAAAGCAGCAATCAAATCCTTTGAGTCTTTTAAGTTTTAATTCCAGATTAATTCTTCAATTTTCCAAATAAAGGAAATATTTGATTTGTGCAAAATAGTAAATATATATTATTATAACAGTAACTTGATCCGAAGGGTCGTATCACGTCGAGTTGACAGGCGCTGATCATCAGATCTAACGAGACGCGAAGCGTCCAGTTTGATCTGATGACCCGCGCCTGTCAACGAGACGTGATACGGCTCTTCGGATCAAGTTACTGTTATAATGATAAATTTATTATATACCCCCTTATAACTAGCTAAATACAACAGAATAAAACTTTAGAGATCAATTGTATAATATTTATCCATAAAACAAAGCATAATAACAAGGGACTTTTTAACGCACAAGAACAATAACGTCATGTTTTTGCGTACTATGTCATCAGTTTCAGAGAGTGGTGGTATGGATTCAGAAAACCACAGTGTGGTGATCCGGAAAATGGGATCAAACTCTGTAAAATTTACAGTAACAAAAACAAGGAAATTGATGGGTATATAATAAATTCCTTTTATTTTTTTTCCACATAATTTTAATTAATACTTATTGCATTACATACCTGTAAAGAGTCCAGCAGTGATAAATTCCGAGAACTTTTGATCGTCTCTGATGATTAAAGCAACACACCCTACACCACAGTGAATGGCTCCAGTGTCTGAATACACAGACATTTTGTTGTCCTTTCTCTCATTAAAATTCATCCTAATTAGCATAAGGAAATTTTGCTGAATTATGAAGACAAATAAGCCTGTAGGATGTACTTTAAAAATTAATTGTTGAACAATGGAATTCAATATTGGCAAGACATTTCATCATTATGATGAATAAATTTTCTTTGTCATATCCATGGACAATATATGGAACCTGTATAACCTTCAGCATTAGGCCTATCTCTCAGTGCACTCAAGAAATCAGTTTTGTAGGCTTTTTTTACCTTTAACAAATATTATTTATTCTTAAAAAGATTTAGCAAGTATTACCGGTATTCAAGGGAGTGCATTGGTGCATTGACTTGCGTCTGACCATAAGTTGTTAAGAAAAAGGCTCTGCCAAAATTAGTTTATGCTTCTGTGTGATAACTTGTTCTTCCTAGTCTAAAACCAGTAAAGGTAACTTCATTGCAGTAATGGATGATGTTCATCAATTTACTTCATATTAACATGTTATTGTTTATTTACTTTATTAATTATAACTTTAATTGGTACAAGTATATTCTAGCTTAATAAAACAGGCCCGGCTACCCATGATGTCACATAATTTTTTAAATATAAAACATGATGATACTACATTTAACAACACATTAAAATTGCAAAAAGTGCTCATTATAATTGAAAGAAATGAGATGTGTTATTGAAACACTGATGAACGGACCCCTGATGAACCCATGTGGTGGCCTGTGGCAAATGTTTAAGTTTTTCAAATAAAGTTAAACTCCAAGGTTAAGGCCAAGAAGTTAAAATATTGTTTTCCAAAGGAAGGGCTTGTATCAGTAGATATACGAGGGTTGATCCAAAAGTAATGTCACAGTGTCCATATCTTTTATATTTGGCGTCATATTATCAAATACAATATATCAAAAGATGCACAAATATGAATCTAATTAACATTGAAATTTTAATTTAATAATGGTTATTTGAATTTATTTTATAGATGTTTAAAACATAAAGCATAGGGGGTGTCGCCGCATCACAACGGAACGTCACGTTTTAAAGTGTATTTTTTCGTAGAATGAAAAAGACAAACACATTAAAAAGATTCTAAAAAAGCACCTAATCTCCAATTTTTTTAAAGACACAATATTCTCGTCATTTTCTAGTTTTTAATTGAAAATTGAATGACGGCATTGGTATTTGTGATCATAAACATTGTTGTTTTACTCTGTTGAATTGAACAAAGGGATTGTCGAAATGGGAAAAAAAGGCTCGACGAGTTGTAATGCATTTTTGCTTCAAAATATGGAAGTCATCACTAGCGACTTTTTCGTTAATCAATCAGACTTACAGAATAAAGAATGTAAATAAGAAACATCTTAATAGATGGTTTCAGCAATTTTGGGCGGGTGATTGGTCACTGAATGATTAGCAGAGGACAAGAAGACCGAAAGATAGGGGGATCGGACGGAAACTTCAATGGTGTCTGACGTTGTCAAGAAAGACAGACGTATAGAGTGACATGTGAATTTTTAAGTTTCTCTTATGCTATACTGTTCAAAAAAATTCGACAGAGGGCTTAATTATGAAAAGAGTAAGTGTATAATGGTACCAAGAACTCTAAAAGAAACTGGAATTGGTGAAAGTGTTTGCGAAACACAAATATTTTTTAATGAAACTAAGGGGAAACGCTTAAAAGTATTATGACGGTGTGTATCCGTCATATGACGTTATATTTAGGTGCGGCGACTACCATAAACGCGCATTGTTTAAAATCCGATATTTTGAAAAGTATACATCATATTCCTTTGGAATTTTCAGGTCTGATTTGAAATACACAAAGCTTCTATCATGTATAATTTTGTTGCTTTACGTCGATTTATAGCAATTTTATCAAAGTTGTGACATTACTTTTGGATCAACCCTCGTACCTGTAAAAGCTGCAGAAACAACTGTTCAAATGTTCTAGCAAAGATTAAAGATTTTAAAAAGTGGGTCAAACTCCAATGTCAAAATCAAAGGGTCAAAATCAACGATACCAGGGAAAAGACATCAGTGAAATGTAAAAGCCCCAGCATCAAATGTCCAGAAGTTAAGGCATTAAGGTTTAAGTTTTTTAAAAGGTCAAAGTTCAATGCCAAGTTTAAGAGTATTGAAAGCCCTAGTACTAATTGTTCAAAAGTGAAGGCAAAGGTTAAAGTATTAAAAAAGTTAGTGAAATTCTAAAGGTCAAGGTCAAAAGGAGAAAACCCAAAGGAAAGGGCTTGTAATACTTGATACACATTAGTAGTATGAAAGCTGTTAGTAGCGTTGACTGTACAAAAGTTATGACCATGCACAGTTAAAATTTGAAAAAAAAAAACATGTGTTTGTGACACAGTGATGCCCATGTATAGCAGCTTATGGCAAGGGTTGAAGTGTCTCAAATGCAAGTCAAAGGTCATGGTCAAAAAGTCAAAATTGTTGGTATCCAAAGGAAGGTCTTGTCATTATGAATAAACCTGTGAAATATGAAAGCCCTAGTCCTAAGTTAAAGCCAAGGATAAAGTTTTTTGAAAGGTGGATCAAACTCCTAGATCATGGTCAAAATGTCAACTCATTGAAAGGTCTTGGCACAATGCATACACATGTGAAGTATGAAAGCCCTTGCACAAACTGTTCAAAAGATATGGCCTAGGTAAAAGTTTGGTATTTTTTGGTAAAGGTGGGTCAAACTCCAAGGTCAAGAGGTCATTTTGGTGGTACCCAAAGAAAGGTCTTTTCATAAGGAATACACCTGTGAAATATGAAAGCCATATACCCACCCACTCAAAAGTTATGGGCTAGGTTAAAGTTGACAGACAGACAGAAAAACAAACAGACAGACAGAAAGAAAGTCTTTTTGTGTAGTTTTCTTTTTCAAAGAATTTTACAAGATTTAAAAAAGTAACTTTTTTGAAAAAAATGGTTATTTTATAATCTAGTTCTGGTGCAATATTAGAGTAAATCAACAAATAACTGAAACACTGTTTTACTGTAACGGAATATGTGAAACTCATTATACTGGCATAAAGCTGTTTAATTAACAGATTAATAAGAAGTGCCCTTGACTGCACAGATATTTCAATGTTAAACATTAAATTTCTGTCTTTAATCACCAACTACAACTTGGCACACATTTTTTGATGACAAATGTAAGCAGTACTTTAGTTATCATATTCTGTTTATGTCTTTGATGTTTGTATGTCACTGCACATATCTGCAGGTAAGATAAATGGATGTCATGTAAATGAAGGACAATTCCAGGGCTATGGGACCTTCAGCGGTTGTTTTATGACATATCTTGCCTGTTAGCATGGTTAGTTCATGAAATATCACGGCTACATGACAGCCTTGGTTCTGATGAGGCCTGATGTCGCGCTGTCTGTGGCCTCCTGTTTCAGGGACAGACTGTCAATGGCTCTGTAGAACCATGTGTGACAGGTCCTGAAGAAAAAGCACCTTGAGCTCAGATCTTATTTTAATATTAACATTATCATCAGGATTATGTAACATAAGATGTCCATTTTTTAAAATCTTACTTTTTTGCAGCTCTAAGGATTAAAAGTTCACATCTGCATTTCATGTTAATGACATTTATTTACATTGTTATTATTTATTAATTAATTAGCTTTCATTTCTACTTCTTTATAGTACATGTATGTAGAATGATACAACAGATCAATCAAGTTGCTGAATTAATTTATTATGGAAAACTATGATCAATTAATGGCCTTGTCCATTTTAGGAAATTAAAATATATCCAGGTAATGTGAAGACTTTTTGATTGATGATTTATTTGATCTTTTTTTACAGATTAACTTCCTGGTATGTCAGATCTCAGCGCTCTTCCTAGGATATTACTTCCGAAAAAACTGGTCCCCTAAGCAGATCAGCGTGGTTAATCGTCACGCTATAGAACTAGTAGTGGGATTTCTACTAACGGCCTTCTGTTTTGGATAGTAAGGGAGATTTATCTGTGTGTTGTCTGCAAAATTTCTCTTTATGTACCAGAAATATGTCTGTCTGTCTGTCTGTTTTGAACTAATACATCTTACATCTAACTATAAAATAACACAAAAATTATTAGAATTTCATTTTCAGTTCACACTGGCATAATCTAAAAGATATATATTTTGTATTCTGTGCAACTTTTATTGAGTTTAATAAAGTTAGATATTACTTCATGTAGATATATAAGTATATCTAGCAAGCTTTTCAAGTTGATGTATATGATGTGTGAAGATTACCATGTGATAGAATAGAAGCATGTTCATAGAGCATGTAGTTATTACTGTGGAATACATGTACATATTTATTTCAGCTAATTTAATGTAATACATGTATATATTTATTACAGTCAGGTGATCCATGTCGTTTTGATGGGATTGCTGTGTTATGCCCTGATCCTCTATGCGCCTCGTGATAAGTTCCACACCCTGGTGTTTATTGCCAGTATGGGGTACCTCTGTATCATGCACATGTACCGCCAGTACTACGACTATGGGGGATACTCTCTGGACATTACAGGGTGAGTTTAAAGTTTTTACATCATGGGATTTTTGAGTTCTAGATATTATTAGATCCAGCTCATTGTTTGTGAAATATTTTAAAATTACTGTCACTGTGGAATGATATTCATTCACGGGGGTCCAATGTTTGTGGGCAAGCAAAATTTAACTTGTTCATGGGGATGTAAGTTGTGGGTTACATGCCTATACAGAAGATTCAATATGTTTACAAAATAAATTTTCATGGGAAGTTAATTCCTGGGTGACCCACAAAATCGATCCACAAATGCTGGCCCCCCACAAACAATGATAATTCCACATAAAGTAATTTTCTTGTTTTATTTTTCAGACCTTTAATGATACTTACCCAGAAAGTGACCAGCATAGCTTTCCCTCTACATGACGGGACACAGAAAAAAGATGAAGATTTAAACCCAGATCAAAGGATAATGAAAATAGAGTAATTAAATAATGGAGAATTATAAAAATCTTAAATTTCAAAAAAAAATCTCTTGCCTGATGTAATGAGGCACATATACCGGTATATTTGAAATGATTCAATGCATAAGAAAAGATTTCATGGTGGCTCAGTATTCCTTGAATTTGAATTTTTTGGTACACTGCATGCATGAATTCACAGGTCCTCAAAACAAAGTTATTGATATTTTAAGAGTCACCTTTCCCTTTGTAGATATGAGTGAATACACAAAATTACACAAAACCTGTAAAATTAAGGCAATCCAGGAAAATTGCTCCCCCCCCCTCCTGAATTTTAATGATTCAACAGTATGTTAATATTATAGAAACATTTGTTAATATTGTTCAAAATTGGTTGTATTTATTAAAGACAGAAAACAGTACAAGAAATTAAAATACTGTTGTAGCTAAGGATGAGCAATTTTGATTTATATAAATGTTAATCTTAGATCATAACATGTTGTAAAACGACATTATCTTGGAATGAAAAGCTCTTTACTGTAAGGATGAATTCGTAACAAGAGTTTTAGCTTTACCTGTTTTTAGCTCACCTTAGCTTAAGACTGGAGTGAGCTTTTCTGATCCCTTGTCTTGCTTCCATCTGTCTGTGTCCTTGGCTTTAAGTAATCTGTTTTCTATTTTATTTTACAGGAAGCTGCCAACATCTGTGTCGGAATACCGTAAATCTGGAAATTTTTGCTGTAGATAAATTTTTAGCAAATTTGCGAGTTCATTGCATTCGCAAAAATATTTTTCTTAAAAATAAATTACCAATAAGAAAATGTAAACAAAGCAGTGTAATTCGCAAAATTTTGAAATATAAAAATTAATCAACACCATTTTGACCCAAATTCGCAAAATAAAATCGACGTAAAAATTTCCAGATTTACGGTATTTCAGTTACCTTTTCAGGATTGTGTTTATCTGATCTACACTGCATTTTATTTTTCAGGAAGCCACCGTCAGTCTTGGAATACTTTAGTTACCTCTTTAGCTTCCACAATATAATTTTTTAGCCATTTTGTAATTTTACTGACTATATCAAGTTCATCGAGGGCAAAGATGGCTCTTACGAAACTCCTGTAGGTTCAGCTCTGGTTACGTTTGATATATATTATCATAGATTAACATTCTAAGTATTAATTTACTAAAAAAAAATAGATTTAATGATTTTTTTTCTAAATGTAAATGTTTATGTTTACTTAATGTTTGTTTTGGATATGACAAGACTTACAGAATTCTTATTTTATTGCAGGACAAAACTCCAACAATTCCAAAACCAGAGGTTTGCTTAATGAATTCTTCAAATTAATTTAGAAAAAAAGTGTTATGATAAATTACGAAGTTTCATAGGTTCTCAGAATTGACATGCATTTATTACATTTATAAATACTTAAATATATAAAGTCATCATCTTTCAACAAAGTTACACAGAAGATACTCAGAACTGATTGTCCTCCTTTATTACTTTATGTGTAACTTATTGGAGTGTGTATGGGTTGCTTTGAAAGCTCAATATAAAGTTAAAGGTAAAAGTCATATAGATAACAAAGTATAATTAATTTCCTCCTTTTGTGAGATTAGAAGACATCTGAGATACCCCTGTATATTTCCCTTTAGGACGCGGTTAAGGAGAAGTTAATCGTGGCTGGTATCTGTGGTGTTGTCATGGTGTTGTCTCCCTTAGTCTTCCCTGTTGAATACATGGCAGGTAATATAAATATGTATCTTCTAGTGTGTAATGTGTCAGTTGATACATGTACCGTAATTCTTTTCACCCTATTTAAGGAATGGACCATTGTAAGGCTTGAGATTACAAAAAATTATTTTGTAATTAAACCATATATTGGTACCGTCTGTCCAACAAGCAGAATTTTCCCTCAGAAAATGTCTGTACTCCTAGTGATTGTCATAATTAAAAAGTTTCAATGCTATTATTGTGGGCAATATTTTTGTATATTGTAAAGAAAAATATGTTTGATTTTTTTAAAATCAAAAACAGATTGACCTCAGAGGTTTTGTTAATTTTAGGCCTGTAGAAAATTATTTTAAAAACAAACAGATTTCATATTTATAGTGAGAAAATTTACTATGTTTTCTTTATACTCTAGATGATGAATTCCTTTACCAGACAAACTGGTTTTACAGAAATTTCTTCGTTCTTTTTTGTGTGTCACTGGTTCGAGCCAAATATTACTGTGCCTGGAAATTAGGTAAGTTTGTTTACATTTATGTTAAGTTGCAGTAGGTGAGAGCTTCAGTAGTTCTGTACAAACATTTTCGGGTTCATGTACCTAAAATCCTTCATTATTTTATCCATTCAGTCACCTGGTATTGCATGTAAGCTACAACTACATTTTTATCAATTTTTTCAGTATATTAAATCATTTTGCATTGAAAATGTTCTCCCACTTTCATAAGATGCAGTGTCAGATTAAAAAACAAACAAAAAAACGTATTAAAAATCACGAATCAGGTACATAATGTTTGTTTACATTCAAAATATGTTAAAACCATTTTTGAAGACTCATTTTGCAGTGATAACATCATCCCATTTTCATAAAACTTTATGTTTGGTATTTAAAACTACTATTGATTTTACATGAAAAGAAATATTCTTTGTAATTATTGACCCTTGTCTTTGTAGGAGAGGCGGTTAACAATGCTGCAGGCCTGGGTTTCAGTGGTTATGATGACAAAGGTCAGGCAAAGTGGGACCTTCTAAATAATGTCAAAATCTACGAATTAGAGGTACGTGTGATTTACTTCACAGACCAATCCACTCTTGGATAATCCATTTCATATCAATTATTCATATTAGTTTTAACATGCAAATTTTAATATTAATTATTTTTTCTAAATGGTGTATGATTATATTAAATCATTTTGCATTGAAAATGTTCTCCTTCTCATAACATGCAGTGTCAGGTTGAAAAACAAACAAAAAAACATATTAAAAATCACGAATCAAGTACATAATGTTTAAAGTTTCAGCCATTCAAAATTGATTTAAAACTATTTTCAGGAAAAATGAAATGAGGTAGTGTAGATTTAAGTTTGTTCAAGTCATTTTGCAATGATAGGAATATATAGGAAAAATCTTTAAAAATCAAGAACCATTTTCATAAAATTTTATGTTTGGTATTTAAAACTACTATTGGTTTTACATGAAAAGAAATATTCTTTGTAATTATTGACCCTTGAATATATAGGAAAAATCTTTAAAAATCTTTTGTAGGAGAGGCGGTTATGGCTGATCAAAGTTTTAATAGGAATATATAGGAAAAATCTTTAAAAATGCTGCAGGCCTGGGTTTCAGTGGTTATGATGACAAAGGTCAGGCAAAGTGGGAATATATAAATAATTTTTTCAAAATCTACGAATTGAAACTCATGTAAAACGGGTGATTTACTTCACAGACCAATCCACTCTGGGATAATCCATTTCATATCAGTAACCCATATCAGTTTAAACATGCAAACTTACCATTAATATTAATTAATTTTCATTGAGCTACATGGTGTATGATTCATTGAATATGGTGTGAGATATGGTAACCTTTATTTATTTATTGACCAGTGAGGATGTGAAAATACTAATTCAAGTTTAATTGTAAAATGATTCTGAAAGCTTGAATATAAAATATTCGTAAATCTATTAAGGTCTGATTTTTGTAAAGTACACAGTTTTTGTAAATCACATGTGTTTTTCCCCATATCCTTTAAAAGTATAATGAATGAGTGTCTTGAATACTTAGAGCACGGCTTTGCAAGTAAGATTGACAGCAGAGGCATCGTCCCTTGGTACCCTCTGTATTCTAGTATCTTTTCTAAAATATACTTATTGTACTACCTTAATGAATATTATTTTTCTATCACTTAATTGTATTCTGAATGAGTGTCTTGAATACTTAAAGTTCAGTCAGTAAGACCGACTGTGCAGAGGCATTGCACGTCCACTGGTGCCCTCTGTATTCAAGGTCAGGGTTAGGGTTATTCAAGTCACACTATATCTTATTATACTGCTATTATTACAAATATGTTCATTTTTAGCTCACCTGAGCCGAAGGCTCAAGTGAGCTTTTCTGATCAAAAATTTGTCCGTCGTCTGTCGTTGTCGTTGGCGTTGTCGTCGTCGTCGTAAACTTTTTACATTTTCATCTTCTTCTCAAGAACCACTAGGCCAATTTCAACCAAACTTGCCACAAAGTATCCTCAGGTGAAGGGGACTCAAGTTTGTTCAAATGAAGGGCCATGCCCTTTTCCAAGGGGAGATAATTATGAATTAGAGAAAAATTAATGGCGTTTTAAAAAAATTTTCTTCTCAAGAACCACTAGGCGAGGAAAGATGAAACTCATGTGGAATCATCCTCAGGTAGTGTAGATTCAAGTTTGTTCAAATCATGACCCCCGGGGGTAGGGTGGGGTTATCAAAGTTTTACATAGGAATATATAGGAAAAATCTTTAAAAATTTTCTTCTTGAGAACCATTGGGCCAGGAAAGATGAAACTCATGTGGAATCATCCTCAGAGAGTGTAGATTTAAGTTTGTTCAAATCATGACCCACTGGCCGATCAAAGTTTTACATAGGAATATACAGGAAAAATCTTTAAAAATCTTCTGCTCAAGAACCACTGGGCCAGGAAAGATGAAGCTCATGTGGAATCATCCTCAGGTAGTGTAGATTCAAGTTTGTTCAAATCATCAGGGTGGGGCCATGGCTGATAAAAGTTTTACATAGGACTATTATTAAAAATCTTCTTCTTGAGAACCACTGGGCCAGGAAAGATGAAACTCATGTGGAATCATCCTCAGGTAGTTATTACAAATATGACCCCCGGGGGTAGGGTGGGGCCATGGCTGATAAAAGTTTTACATAGGAATATATAGGGAATCCTTTTAAAATACTTCAAAGCCATGCTTATAGTGATATTAATAGGGAATCATCCTCAGGTAGTGTAGAATCTAGTTTGTTCAAATCATGACCCCCTGGGGGTTAAAATTCAAGCCCCCCCCATCAGTAAACTTTCAGTTCTGATCTGATATGTGCTTTTTCCTAGCCAATTGCTCAGGTGAGCGATGTGGCCTCTGGGCCTCTTGTGTTAAAACTTTCTGTAGTTTTCTATCTACCCAATACTTTTGATCCGGTGTCCAACTATCATGAATACCCGTATGTGACAGTTCTAACATTTTCACAAGTATCCTACTAGTATGTATATTCCTCATCTCCCATTTGTACTTCCATGATAGATTTAATTATTATTAATTCATATTACAATATATTGCAATATAATCTAATTGTAATCATACTATTACCCGCTGAGGGCCCTTGATTGGTGAATAAACATAAAAACTGAATTTTAAATGGAATTTTTTGTTCTACAATAAATGATTTTGTTACATTTATAATATTGTGTTTACTTTTCAGGTATCGAACAGTCTTAAAGTAAACATAGACTGTTGGAACATCACGACCTTGATCTGGCTGCGTCGTGTGGTGTATGATCGTGTGCCCCCGAGGCATCGTACCCTTGCCACGTTTATGGTCAGCGCCCTCTGGCACGGCTTCTATCCCGGGTATTATATCTGTTTTACCGGAGCTGCTCTGTGTACTGTAGCCGCCAGACTGGTAAGTATAAAATCGGATTCTACGACCGTCAAAATAACGTTTGTTTACTAGGATTTTTATTAGACTAAGTATAGTAAATTATCAAATTAGCAACATTCTTATATCCTTTGAATAATTGTTTAAGTTTGTTAAAGGTAATCAGGGATGACCCACACTTTTTAGTTGAATAGGAAATTATCGCTTTTGTTTCACAAGATTAACATCTGTAGTGCTCTGAATCACTTAATATAAGACATTACAAATTGAGAACAAGAATTTATTTTTTCTGGAATCAGAACTAAAAATTTGTGATACCTCCCCTATTTTACTTTTATGTACACTTGGTAATGTGCACTTGTAAAGGAGCATGTACATTGAAAAGACTGTATATCTTATTAAATGTTTGAACACCAATTGCAAGCTCTCAGTATCATGTGTATAAAGGATATGTTTTTGAATATTCCTTGCAGGTTAGAGGAAATGTTCGCCCTTATTTTATGCTTTCTAAACGTGACAAGTCTATTTACGATTGCGTCACTTTTGTATTCACTAAGTTCTCCATAAGTTATCTTACTGCTCCACATTTTCTGCTCAATCTTTTGGACTCTGTCAAACTTCTACGGTGAGTTGCACCTTCCTCCAGGACTTTCCCAGCACTTTCTGTCCTGGCTTAAATGTTTTGGCTTTATAACAGGCAAACCTGTATTTCTGTTGGAGTAAATTTTTTTTTTTTCAAACCTACTTTTTAATAAAAAAAGCTAACTACATGAAAAATAATCTGACTTAGAGTGTAACATATGAAAACAAATTTTACATCAAAATTAATGTGCAAGTTCTGTTAAAAATTGAGGTTTGACTGCTGTGCAGAATTTGCACCAACAGAAATATTGGCTTATAATGTACTGTATGAAATTACCAGGCTGTTCAGCAGATACACATTTATGTAGATGTGCACCGGGCTTGTACTCAACACGATTTTCCTCTTTCAGATGAGAAGAAATGTACGACCATTATTTCTTGATTCTCCGGATAAAAAGAAATTGTACGACGCTGGGACATTCTTCTTTACGCGCTTTGCAAATGTTTATCTGGCCTCCAATTTCTGTCTACTTGGACTTGTACCATGCTTTACATTATTAGGGTAAGGGAAACATCAACAAGTTAAACACAAGAAAATAAATACATGTAATAAAAACTCTAGAATTTTCACCCACCCATCTAGAACCTATGAAACTTTTGCTTTGTAAAATTGTTAAAAGTTAAAAAGTTTCAAACAATTTTCAATCTCTTCAATTTTGCTTACCGGTAAAATTTTGCTATTATTTAAGGTCTTTGAAATTGTTTTCTTAAGTTTAAAGTTTATTTTGAAAATTGATGAATTATAAACAAGTGAACATAATTTTCAGTTTTAATAGGTATACACATTGTTTCAAAATATAAAGTTCACACAAATATAGTACATAACAGTAATGAACAACATATCACTCTTGCTCCCCTTGGCTTACAGTGCTTGGCTTATAATTATTTACCTCCATCCAAAATCCTTGTTTAAATCATTGTCTTATCATTGTTGAATGTCTGAGTAGAAAAAATTTAGGATAAAATATCATACTTCATTGTTATCTAAATATGTTTAAATGCATGGCTTATATGCATTTATCATCTTCGAAAATCACTGTTTTAGTCATTATGTTTCATCATTGACAAATGTATCGATTAAAAGTTTTACAAATGAATATTTTGTATCAATGCTACCAGAATATATTTTGAAAAGGATAACTAATTATCAATTATTTAAAAAAGAAGCCTGTAACTTTTAATATCTACAAGGTCTGTGGTGAGTTTCGGATTTTTCTCCTCGATGTATTCAATTTGATGTTTTACAAATGTAAGTGATGTGTGAATTCATGATTTCTTTTCCAGGTCTTTATTTTTCTGGATTCACTTATGTGCAATAGCAGTTATCATTTACTTCTCATACCTTCATCCAAAGAAAAAGACAGAAAAAGTGGAAACCGTAGCAAAGGAGACAGTGGACGTAAAAAAGTCGCAGTAGCTAGAGATATCGCGAGTTGTGTTCAAATTGTGACAAGTCACTCACGTGTTATTAACTCAAGTTTTATTTTTAATATTTTTTGATTAGTAGTTTGACTGTTTCTTACACTTTTTTGTGATATTAGATAACTTTGGTTTGTGATGTTTGCATGTTGTGAAATTCCAATGTTTATCTATTTTTTTTTATTTTAATAATATGTTGAATGGATCAGAAGGTGAGGATACAGATTATTTTTACATAATTTTTGTGGACTTTCCAAAGACAACCACAGCTTTTCATTACTCATACAAAGATGGGTAGATCACAGTTGAATGACAAAGTGATCTGTCAGTTTCTGTCAGTAAAATGTGTTTACTGTAAACCAACTTTTATTTGCATGCAGAAATATGAGTTCTGCGACCTACTTTTATTCGCAAATATTATAATCACCGCAAAACCAATAATTTTGATAAGTACATGTATTTGTAGAGAATGTTTCCTCTATCGCAAAAATTAATTATCGCATATTGATTTCAAAATGACGAATCACAAAAAAAAGATGACGTGAATAAAAGTTGGTTTATAGTATGCCTCTAATATGGTCAGCAGGTGAATTTGATCAGATAGGATTTTATTGTTTACCTTTATAATGATCTCTTTAGATCACTTGGAGAATGGCTAGAATATAAATCTTATGGAAAGCAATAAATACATGACTGTACACCATCATGTAAATGAACAAACCATTCCATTATTTTGTGAATAATATTTTATCGAAGGTTTCCTCAGATTGGATTTCAGTAATGAATAAAATTTTTTTTTTTAAATTCAAACCATATTCATTTAATTTTTCAAATAACATTTAGTTCTTATATGAAAATGGGCAGAAACAAAGAACTTCAAGTTTCTAATAATCTGTAAAATGTCCTCTTTCAAGAGGCCCCTTATGACTATAAACAAATAAAAGGAAACATGTATTTGAAAAGCTCATTGTTACTTCAAAATGTGTCTGTTTAAAATCCGAGCAGTTTTTTTAAGTGAATAAGTGCTGATTAATATGTGTGCCTATTTTTGATCCTAGCAATAGTCAAGCAGAAAAAGCTAGTCAGATAGACATTCAGGGCTTTTATGCATTTTGTTTTGGTCAGATCAAAGTAATTTTTTTTTCATAGATATATTATTTACACTTGTGTATGTTTGTATTGCTCAGAATGCATGTATTTTTACAGTATTGACAATTTTTTTTCTCCCCCCAAACCATGCCTTGTACTTTTTTCCCTTTTATTAAATATTGGTAACCAATATTAAATTTTACTTTTAGAACCATATTGGTTTCTACATCTTATATTTACTAACGGGATCGATATTGTAAGTGATAACTTAACGTTTTGACCTAGGAATTAACTACCTACTGTTTGTAGTTCTGAAAACTTTTCAAAATATTTTAAGAGTATATTTATGTCCAACTTATGTAAAAAGTGAACAGAAAGCATGACGAAAGATGTCTTCTCCATCCTGTTGTTTAACTCTTTACAACTTTAATACTGAACTGTGACGCAACATTCACTTGATGCTCACGTCATAGAAATATGACGTTACCTTTTCCCTGCAAGTACTTTATAATGCAACAAAAATTTCTCTAAAGTTTAGCATAAATAATATTACGACATAATATATTAATAAGAAAATAAATTTTCTTATGTCATGAGACTTTAGCAAGTATAAAATAGAAGGAAATTGGCATTAAATTTAATTTTGCTTTAGAAATAGGAAACGGTATATACATTAAAATGCGTGACTGCGGGGAAGGGGGTTAAAGCAACTGTTTAATTATTCGAGAACATAATGCCAAACAAATCTTCAATAGAATATTACTGTACACATTTAAACATTTCAGGCCATTTTTTTCTTATCGTTTTATTTAATATTCAGATAAATTAGGATTTAATAATATTATTTCATTCCTTTGAGTTTTGTTAAATTTTGTTATTTAGCTGCATAATAATTGTAAAATAAAAAAAAAATAACACCAAAGTGAAACTGCATGAAACATTCTTTGTGTGATTCTTATAGATACATGTAAAACGTCATAATTATTATTTACTTACTTTATTGTATTACACGTATCTACATGTATCTGCTTTGCACATGTTGCATTTTAATTGATTTGACTGACAAACTAATTAAATTAAATAATTTTTTCTCTGAAATGTCCAAGAGTCCAAGTCATTAGTTTTATTAAGATATTTTTTCTAAAACAGACCAGTGTTAGATATAAACAAGAGGCCCATGGGCAATATCGCTCACATGAGTAACTGTTCCTTACCAGATTTCCCCCTTTATAACATCTTTGTGTCCCACCCTATCTCCAGTGGTCTGGATTTGAACAATTCAAAATCAAAAGTACCTTAGGATGCTTTCACTTAAGTTTCAGCTTTTCTGGCCCAGTGGTTCTTGAGAAGATGAGTGTTAAACAATTTTCTTATATACTAGTATTTCAATGTAAAACTTGGATTCCGTATTGTGGCCCCGCCCTAACCCCGGGGGTCAAGAAATAATTTAAAATCTACATAACCCTAGGATGCTTCCACATACATGTAAGTAATAGCCAGGCTAAGCTTTTATTGAGAAGAAGATGTCCTTTATATTTCAATGCAAAACTTGGATTCCCTATTGTGGCCCCGCCCTAACCCCGGGGGCCATGATTTGCACAAATTAGAATCTACACTACTCCAAGAATCTTCCATATGACAAAGCATTTGTGACCCAGTGGTTCCAATTAACTTCACTAGCCAAGGGTTTCTCTAGCCAAGGGTTTCTGATACGCTACTCTCCTCAGCATACGGTGTTAAAAAAAGTCGGGATTTTTTTTCTCAAGTTGTGATTGGAGTGGATGGACTAGATCGACCAATCAGCAATTTTTTGTAAATGACGATATCTGCGTTCGTGACATATCCACTCTTTACTGTTGGGAATGAAAAAAGCATGTAAACAACGATCACATCCTATTTCCCGAATAGATACGGTGTCATCCAAAATCTTAAAATCTGTTCAAAATATGAATTAGAATCTATGTTGAAGAAGTAGTTTTGCACATTAAATAAAAAATGGTAAATAAAATCTAAACACTCTTGTTGTTTATTCTTTAAGAACTTTAATGATTTAAATGCCATATTTATTGCTGTTGATGACGCAATTTGTGCGTACCTGTCCGAATTCGAGATCACGCGACGAAAACAATCCCGTCTTTTCACAGCACCGTGTGCCAAGGGATTAAGAGGAGAGTAGCGTATCAGAAACTCTTGGCTAGCGAAGATGCAGGGGTTCTTGAGAAGATTTTAAAGATTTTTTCTTTATATGTCCATGTGAAACTTGGATTCTCTATTGGCACCGCCCTAAAGCTTTTTTTTATTTGAACAATTTAGAAGTACACTACCCCAAGATGCTACCAGTTAAGTAAAAGTTTTTGTGGCCTCATGGCTCTTGAGAAGACATTTTAAGGACCCCACCCTATTTTTGTCTTTTCTTGATTATCTCCCCTCTTAAGGAGGCATAGCCCTTCATTTTATCAATTTAAACTCCCCTTCACCCAAGGATGCTTTGTACAAAATTCAGTTAAAATTTGTCCAGTGCTTCTTGAGAAGTTGAAAATGTGAAAAGTTTACAGACAGACGGTCGGACGATGGACACTGGGTGCATCAGAAAAGCTCACTTGAGCTTCCAGCTCAGGTGAGCTAAAAAGAGATGAAAACAAACATATATAAATGATAAATGCAATGTACAATGGAAACTGCCAATTGAAGTTCATGACACAGAACGAATAAGGAAAATCTAGATTTATAAAAAAAAAAATCCATGCTGGTATAATTTCAGTGTTTCTCGTCCAACAGAGCTGAATTTATTTCCATAGTCTGCGGTTCCTGGCATTGCGAGCTTTCTACAATTTCGTCTTCAGAACCAATCCCTTTTCCATGGAGAGATTTTTATCTTTTAGAAAATAATAAAATTCCATGGAATCTTTAAAAAAATTCATTTTCCTAAGAACCACTGACCCTCAGGCACTTGACATAGTAATTTTTCTTATTAAATAATAATTTCATAAGCTTAGCCTTCGTAATTTTTAGCTCTTCTGGTCAGAGACCAGAAGAGCTTATGCGATAGTAATATGTCCGGCGTCTGTCTAGCTGTCTGTCTGTAAACAATTTTTCAAAATGCTATATTCCTCCTACAGTTTTGGTCTGATTTCAATATAACTTGGCACACAAGTAGACAACACTATGATACATAATTTTGTATATTGATTTTGATGGGTGTTGCCGTGGTTACTAAAAATAGAAATTTCTGTGAAATTCTTTCAAAATGCTACTACTCCTACAGTTTTAGTCTGATTTCAATATAACTTGGCACACATGTAGACTACACTAAGATACATGATTCTGTATATCGGTTTTTCACTTCGATGAACATTATTGCCGTGGTTACAAAAAATAGAAATTTCTGTAAAATACTCTCAAAATGCTAACTCGAAAGTTAGCTGGAGAACTGTAGCTCTCCGAAAAAATATATTGACAGATCGGAGAGCTACAGTGCCACCCACTGAAAAAACTGTATATATTTATTACCCACAAAAATTTGCGCTTAGTTCTGTATTAATTCCACCAAATTCTTATCTAAATTGAAAAAAGGCTAAATTAAAAAAAAATCTTACTTTTATATCAAGTAGACTCGTAATTGACATCTGCACAAAGCATGTAAGACCGAATTATCTTGCAAACAAATATGGGAGTATAAATAGAAGAAATTTTCGATGATCTCAATTTCAGGGCCAGGAGGCTATTAACAACAATTACAAGAAACGTCTTGTTATGGAAACAGCGAAAGAATATGTCAGGATCACACGGTTAGTAATATTTTGATGTGACGGTTTAAAAAACACGGAGAATAAAATCGAGAAACAGCGCACTTTTTTGTGCGCAATAAATATACAGTTTTTCCAGTGGATGGCACTGTAGCTCTCCGGTCTATCAATATATTTTTCGGAGAGCTACAGTTCTGCAGCTACTCTAAAGTAACCCTACAGTTTTAGTCTAATTATAATATAATGTGGCATGCAAGTAGACTACACTAAGAACATAAAGAGACTGAATCAAGGATCATTATTCTATTTATTGCTGTTGTAAAATTTTAATTCCCAACTGCTTACCAGTTAAATACTTTTCTCTTCCTTTGCTATAAGTACAGACCAGTAGAGCTTCAGTCTCAACAGAGACTTCTGGTTTTTATTAGCTCAAGTGAGTTTTTTTTATCACATTTTGTCCCTCGTCCGTCTGTGTAGCTGTCCATCCATTTGTAAGCTTTTTACATTTTTTAGCTCTACTGGTCAGAGACCAGAAGAGCTGATGTGATAGTAATGTTTCTGGCGTCTGTCTCACTGTCTGTCTGTAAACAATTTTTCAAAATGCTACTCCTCCTACAGTTTTGGTCTGATTTCAATATAAATTGGCACACAAGTAGACAACACTATGATACATAATTCTGTGAATCGGTTTTGGATTTCGATGAACGGTGTTGCCGTGGCTACTAAAAATAAAAAATTCTGTTAGATTCTTTTAAAATGCTACTCCTCCTACAGTTTTGGTCTGATTTCAATATGAAGTAGCACACAAGTAGTCTTCACTAAGATACATCATTCTGTATATCGGTTTTGGATTTCGATGAACGGTGTTGCCATGGTTATAAAAATAGAAAATTCTGTTAGCTATCTCCTCCTAGTTCTGTAAAATTTTATTAAAGCTACTCCTACATTTGTAATCTT